CGGGTTGCTGTGAGCCGGGCTGATTCTAGCATGGTCTTCTATTAAGTGCTCCCACAACCCCCACGGAACCACGATTCAAATCCCAACCTGAACCCGAGAAGTCCTAGAGTCGTAAACAAGTCCAATCCATAATGGGCCACAGCCCTATAGAACTTCAGCCTGAAAAGGAGTGGCCATGGCATCTTTCACCCGAACGGCACTGGAGAGTGCGCAGCAGCTTCACAACTGGCAGACGCTGAAGCAGCTGAGCCTGAGGTCGTCAGAGTCGGGACAGGACCAGGGCTGGCGGAGCATCTGTCACGAGCGCTGCTGAACATCTGAATTTCAGAGTTATGTGTCAGTGTTGCCCATCCCTGTCCTGGTTTTTATTTTGTCTGAGGACCTGTGGATTAATCTAAAGCTTCAACGCAGGTACCATTTGCACACATACTTGCCGATGTAGAGTAGAGTCTTCAAAGGGGCGCAGCTGCCGTCTGATACTTGCTACGGGTGTTCTTTGAATAAGAAGGCATGGGTTTACGTCTGAAGCGCAACTACTTCATAAACGTGCTGAAGTGGGGAGACCCCTACTATTTACACCAACTCGCGCTTTGTCAGTCTATGGCAACAATCAAAGACGACACGCCCCGACAGGACGTTCCACCGGGCATAGTGAGCCATGACGATTTCTTCAGCGTATGAGCGAAGGTTGCTTGTGTTTACTGACTGTGCTTCAGTTGCCGGCTTTCACCCATTTTACCAGAGCTAGTGGAATTTTGAACCAGGTTACATACCCTGTGCGAAAGAGGAGCTCGGAGCTAGTGCGTGGCCTTCGATGTTCAGGTATGTCAGTATGCTTGCCTTGGCCGTGAGCAAAAAGCTCTATCTCCGAGCTATTCATGTCCAGGTTTCCTGCGCAGAGCTCTTGGGATTTCATGTTCCATACCCTGGCATCCCTAAACCCTGAACCCTATGCCTTAGAAGGGGCCCCCACCCTGTAATAGTGGTATACTAGGAATATAACAGGGCCCTAATATAATCCTATATAATCTTTATAGTCACTATTACAGGGTGGGGGCCCCTTCTAACCTATGCCTTAGGTTGGGCACTGTCAAGACCCAGGAGGCTGACGCTGCCCTGCAGTTGAACCAAAAAATGACGCGGGTCCATCCGCCCTCGCTGTCACCGTCCCGACAGGGTCCGAGCACCTTTCCCTAAACCCCCTGCCAGGAACCCTACACTACACCTGTGTTGCATGTCGGCTCTTACGTTCTACATGGAAGATGACGGAAACATGTTTAAAGTATTCCTAACCTGGTGTTACAGGTTTTTCCCATGCATTGCGATCCACCTTGAATCTCAATAAGCGCATCCAAAACTAAGTAAGATCTGGAAGTACACGTATCCAGCGCTACATGAAAGTACAATAGCATAAAATGGTGGATGGGTTTTTCACACATGGAGATACATGTAGATATATACACATGCTGACAGTCAGTATTATTATAGCTGGGTATACATACATAGCTATATTATATATATATATATATATATATATATGTATGTATACACCTGTGTGTCAGTACATATATATATCTCGCTCCATGGAGGGAGGGATTGAGGGAGGGAGAGAGAGGGAGAGAGAGAGACAGCCCCGGAAAGTTTGGGGGTCCCTGGTGGCCGTGGGGAAACCTTGCCAGTCCCCTGTGCCCTCGAAGCAGAGAGAGGGAGAGAGAGAGAGAGAGAGACAGAGAATGTATGTGTGTGTGTGTGTGCAGCTCTATATGGGGCAATAAGCCTGTGTATATATATATATATATATATATATATTATATATACATATGTACACAAACACGTCTATTTGTGGTTCTGTTCACGATTGAACACATGTGTATGTACATGTTTGTAGATGAGTATGTGTAATGCAATGCAATGTATTGTAGTGTAGTGCAGTGTACTGCCATGCAGCTTAATGTGCTGTAACGTAGCGCACTGCTGTGTAAGGTAGTGTACTTTACTGCACTTATGCTAGGTGGTGTAGCGAAGGTAGTGTGATGTAGTGTGCAGTGGCAGAACGTAGCATAGTCTAGCGCAGTGTGCACGGTAACGTAATTAGTGTATTGTATTGCGCCATATACACATGGATATACTGCTGCGACACATGAATGTGAATACATATGTATATATACATGGTTTTGTAGACGTATGTAGATACATATCACACACACACACACATTTTTATGTATACACATGTCGGACACACCGACACACATATAGACATATAATTATGTGTGTGTGTGTGTATATACATACTCACACATATACAAACCTATGCTATAGATCTATACCTGCAGACGTGTGCCAACAACACCAGGAGCATGTAAGTTACCACAGCTTCGTAGACTGGTATGGTATGGATAGGTGAGCCGGACCATGTGGGTGAGCTCTTCAGAAGAAGGCTCAAGTGCGTATTAACTTTTTTCGGCGGATTGCGAACCATCCTTTTGGTTCAAAAATCGGATTTGCGAAAACGAGCTTGTGGAATTGGCATGACTGCACCCGTTGCGAGTTTCTCATACGAGCGTTCATTAGTCTTGTAAGTCAACATCCAATCTTCTCAAAGCCAGCATAGCACACCCTGTCGACTCAGAAACTCCGTTGATGTCTGCAATTGCAGGCTTTTGAACAGAAAATCATTCTTCAGTCTCTCCGGTTTTGCCAGAAGGTCGGCCGTATCACAGCCGAGTCTTAGGCAGCCGACTAGTGTCTAAGTGCCCACCTCGTACCTTCTTGTGCATTCGCATGCCTTCTGGTGATTCGGAAGCAACGCTGAACTGACTGTTGCAAGCGTGGCAATGGTCCCTGTTCCTGTGCGAGGGAGCAGAGAGGCAGACATTGCCTGCGGCAGTTTCACGCATTTCATTTTGTGGGAGCTGATGCTCGTCTTTTAAAGTGCAGGTCATCCGATAGGCTCCGAACAGGAAGTGGCAAAAAACACACACAAGGAACTACTGGCACATTGCTGGCTCCAGGACTGTCAGTTGTCTTCTTGATCTTTCCGTACTCGGGTATGCTTGTATGTTCGTGATCTAAGGCTTGACTGTTCATAGGGAGCCTCGCTCAGTAAACATATATTTCCAAGCGCGGCTGTTGACTTCAGCCACCCAACTTGTATGCGTGCATCATGGCTGAAACCCTGAACCCTCTGAACCCCAAACCTCTCCCCAAAGAGGTAGCAGACCGAGGGCTGGGACGGCGTGTCTAGGACTAAGCCAGAGGACATCGTCAACTGCAACCCCTCGAGCCCTATACCCTACACCCCTAAACCCCAACCCCCCCTCGCGAGCGGGCATAGTTTCCAAGCAATGCGAGAGGGAAAAAAACCCCAAACCCCGAAACATCGATGCGTCGTCGTACCAGCTACTTCGCCAGGTCCGGTTGCGAGTGCTGCATCCTTCGAACCACAAACCCCTAAACCTTAAACACCTAAACCCTACTGTAGGCCCCTAAACCCTAAACCCCTTAACCCCTAAACCGCAAACCCCTAAACCCATGCAGAGCTGGGAAGATCGTTGGGTGTTGAACTTGGGGGCCAAGTGGGCAAGGGCTTTAAGGGTCTACAGGGCTTAAGGGTTTAGGGCTTAAGGGTTAGGGAGTTTCGGGTTTAGGGGGCCAAAGGTTGAGGGTTTAAGGATGAAGGGGTTTAAGGTTTATGGATCACGGGCTTAGGGTTCAACAGGAGCTTTCTGAAAGTTAGAGTTTGTGGTAGGAATCTTTTTTTCCAGAGTGCTGCAGTCTTGCGGGATCTTGAGCAGGCTTAATGTAGAGTTCCAGCATGCTTTTCCCCAGTAATTAATTGCTGACCTCAAAATCTACCTTAGTCTCCATTGTACTCCCTGTTTTGGTTCAACCAGTTGTATACTTAGGATTCTATAAGATAGCCCCAAAAAAGAACTACAATGGAGACTACAGGTACTGTAAATCCTGAAGCTAGCGGCCCCTACTCGAGCTGAAGCTTATAGAATTCGTCCTTAAGTCAAACAGCCGAGGGCAGGCTCTAAGACTCTAAGGTTAAGGCGGCTGGAAAGGTTATAGCACTGGGCTTCGTGGAAAAACAATCTTAGTCTACAAGAGGCCGAGCATCTTTTCAATCTCCCGCTTGCAGTTGGTCATGTAGGGTCTATCTAGGACCGAGGGATCTACCTAAGCATCCATGGCTTTGAGAGGTTTTGGCACAAGTTGGCTCAAGCCTGCAACCGACCCCCCAAAACCCTTAACCCAAGCACACAACCCTAGGCAACACCCGAAAGCTTCACGACAGAGGCGAGGCAGTGCAGGTAGAATTTGTCGTGCAAATCTGCAAACCCCAAAGTCCCAAAACTCGGCTACATGCACTGAAACATGCGGGAAGCATTACTTGTAGCACCGAAGAGCGTCGTCTGATCGGGACTCGAGCTGGTTAGCGATGACTGCGGGTCCGTCCGGTGCAGTTGCTGACATGAAAGGCCCTCTGGCACACAGGCTTCAGGATCCAGGGTATTGAAGGTTTAATGAATATCATGGCGCTAGGATCTATGGTTATTACTCGGGAAACCAAACATGTAGAAGTACCTATCACTCGCGTTTGTTGTATTTTTAACCGTACTTGCTAAGTCTCATGATCCTCCACGGAGGGTCTTACGGTAACGAGGATGTCCGCTGGCTTGAGGAACAGGAGGTGCGGTTGCCCTGGAGCGTTCAAGATATGCGGGCTTCCTAAGCGTCTGCTCAGCATCTTCGAAATGGTACGTCCATTGCCCGCTTAGCCCCAATCTTCTGGGCTGCTTAGCGTGCCACACTCCTGGAACCCAAGTCCCAATTTTGCGGGCTTTGTTTGCCGACTTGTTCAAGCAACACGGGCTTGTGCTTGCGCAACAGGGACATGAAGCCTTCCATCATACAGCATGAGTCCTGTACGGTTTAGGGTGTGCAGATGTAGCCAGTGCCAGGAGCTGGATTCCGAGTAGTTGGTGCAAACGCAAATGGGCGGGTTCATTCCGAGTGTACATCTTGTGCAAGACGCAATCGGAAGCTGTGGAAGCCGAGGCGTCTCTCTGGCCGTGGCATTGAGTGGTTTGGGGCAGCATTGGAGGCACTCGCACACCAAGGGGCCCACAGTGTCGACAGCCGCATGTTCGCAGCTGTGATACGCGGTAAGAAAGCATCTGACAATAGCACAAAAGAGACACAAACCTTTCACCGCCGCCACCACCACCACCACCCCCACCACCACCACCACCACCAACAACAAGAACAACAACAGCACCAACAGCAACAACAACAACAACAATAGTGACAGCAACAGCAACAGCAACCGCAACAACGGCAACCACGAAAACAACCACAGCCACAGCCACAACAACAGCCACAACCACGACCACGACCGGACGACGACAACGACGACGACCACCACCACGACGACCACAACACAACCACAACAACAGCAACACCAACAACAACAGCAAACGCAGCCGCAGCAGCAGCAGCAGCAGTAGCAGCGACAGCGACAGCAACAACACAGCAACAGCAGCAGCAATGGCAACAGCAACCGCAACAGCAACGGCAGCAGCACCAGCATCGGTACAAGAAGAACAAGTACAATAACAATAACGATACCAAGAAAACTGCAGCAGCACCACCACCACCACCGCCGCCACCATCACCACCAAAAACAACATCAACGACAACAGCAATAACACCACCGCCACCACCACCAACAGCAACAACAACAACAACAACTCCGACCGCAACTGCAACCACGACCACCAGCACCAGCACCAGCACCAGCACCACCACCACCCACCACAACCACCACCACCACCACCACCACCACCACCACCACCACAACCACCACCACCACCACCACCACCACCACCACCACCACCACCACCACCACCACCACCACCACCACCACCACTACAACCACTGCAACAGCATCATCATCATTATCATCGTCACCAACAGCAACAACAACAGAAACAGCAGCAACAACAGCACCACTACAACCACTGCAACAACATCATCATCATTATCTTCGTCACCAACAGCAACAACAACAGAAACAGCAGCAACAACAACAACAGAAGCGTCAACAACAGCAGCAGCACCACCACCACCCACCACCACCACCACCACCACCACCACCACCACCACCACCACCAACAACAACAGCAACAACTCAACCACTCACCAACCCCACCACCACAAACAGCAACGGCAACAGCAACACCAGCAACAACAACAACAACAGCAGCAACAACAAGACCAGCAGCACCAGCAACAGCAACTGCACCAAGAGTTAATACTAACCACCAAAACATCGCGACAATAAGTTCGTTATATTATGTCAGACAGCAGCGACAATGACAACGGCAATGGCGATAGACGTATTGCGAGCCTGGGGAAAACACGATCAATGTCGATAACTACGAAAGCAACAACCACATTAGCAACCACAGCAACAACAACCACAACAACATGACCAGTGCTACCAACAACAGCAACAACAATAACAACCATAATGTTGTCATAATTTTCAATACGAGTGACAAGAACAGTAGTTTCTGATATGCATTAGTGTTTCAAGAGCATGGTACCAGTGATGGGAATACCCAGTCCGGCGAATAGTGCAACTGTATTTGGGAATTGGGTTCGAGATTATTGCCTGGTTCTTAGTAGGGAGTGGATCCCTATAGTAGTCCCCATATAATCCCTAATGGTGGTCGCCATAATCCATCCCCCCCCATTCCCTTCTAAGAACCAGACAGATTAAGGCTGCGGGACACGGCGAGAGAGCCGAGCAGAAGCTCAAGGATCGAAGCCCTAACCTCTAATCCTGCCTGAGACCTGAGCTGCTAAACAACCCCTAAGCCTTAAACCCCGAAACAAACGATAAGGCCTACGCCCAAGATCTGTGCATACAGCAAGGATTACTATGACAATTTCTTGAGCCACGCCTGGGCTGGCTCCGGATGGCTGCTCCTGGGCTTGAGGGCCTAAAGAAGGGTTTCACAGATTCTACACTCAGAAGTCAGGTTGAGCAATTGTTGGGCAGTTTGGGGTTGCATATCCAGTCTGCATGCAAGGAAGCTGGAGAAGTAAGTGTGGAGTTTCGGTTCGTTGGGCTGAGCTGTAAACGTTGAACCCTCAACCGTTGAGCTTTCAGTGAGTTTGGGACATGTCGCCATTCATGAGTCTTCGCGAGGACCACAGAGGTTTGCAAACAAAAATGGGGGTGTAGTCCTGGCAGTTGATCGTCAAGCAGTAGCAGTTCAGAGTCATAGGGGGGTACAAGGCGAGGTTGGGTCCTGTTGCATTTTTGGGATGGGAATCCCCCTTTTCGGGGCAACCATACACAGTTTTCCCCACTGAGTCCGGGGATGTTCGGGGCGCCTGCTTCCGCTCACGGAAATTGGAAGGAAGTATTTGTCCCTGCTCATCCTCTTCAACGCACGGGCCGCAATGGTGTCAACGATCCTAGTTTCCGTTTCGATTGGCGTGCTTCGCATGATGGCCATCCTGCCCAACATGGTGTGGACACAGCTTCCGTGCTATGTATTCTATTTTTTGATGCTCGCCACGTGACGGCAACAAGTGCACGCCGCTTGAGGAATGCGGGGCTTGGGGCTTTCCGTGCTTCCGCACGGATAGGGGTCGGTCATAAGGATTGACGCCGTTACACTTTGGCGAAACACTGGCTGCCTGCTTGAAGGGTGTCATGGTTCCCTAATTAACATCTTTTGGGTGGCTCTCGATGCTACCATCAGGACCCTTTTAACTTTCGTGACCCGAAAGAGTGCGTCACCGGTCAGTATCATGAAAGGGAGCCCCAAGTCTATGCAAGCTCTCGGGCTGAATCTAAGACCCCAAATGCCAAGACCCTGCAGACCACAGGGTTTGAACTTTCGGAATAATTTTTTTGGGTGCCATATATTATGGCTTAAATCATAAATGCATGCCGATGATGCTGGGAGACTCTGACGAACCAATTAATCAAGCCTCCATATCAAACCCTAAATTGAATAGGAAGCCTTACACCCCTTTAGAACCATATAGAGCTGTTTGTGGGAACTCTTAGAAGAAAGCTTTCAAGTGACAACTCGAACCAATCTGAGCCCCTATAGAACCTTCACAGAGACCTTGTAAAGGAATCCTCTAGAGGGACCCCCTGTATTTTTTGTACATGAAGCCCTTACCAGGTTTTTTGGCAGCCGATACATGGCATTTTCAGATCGCCTCGCATCGTCTTCCTTGACCGTCTCTGCATCCCACAAGATGATGAGGACCATAATGAGGTTCTTAGAAGGGGTCTAGACGGGCTTTGTGGAGGTTCGATACGGCTGGTAAAGCTTCTTAGTACGGGTTCTGTAAAGGTTGAACGTCATGTTTAGGTACACTGTTCCAGAAGCCGAGCTGCAGAGGGTCTGTATAAAACCATACAGACGCGCATGCCGATCAAGTAGCAGCCTTTGAACCAATGTATGGTTTTCTTTTGGCCATCGTTTAGAAATAGCTTAGCATTTCGTTGGCCGTGCCGCTCTCTCCCATGCGTGATCACCCATGATCACCCCAATTATCTTTTTCTTGCTGTTCGTGACTGTTGATTGAATGTTTGTGGCTGCACGCATCGTGGGCGCCTGTTGTGTCTGCGCCTCCTTTTCGAGTGCATTTCAGGAGAAGAAATCTGAATGTATTCGCGGGCTTGCTGGTTACCTGGATAGAGCAAACACCTTGACCGTCTTATGGTCGAATGAGTACTTTGGCCGACTCTGGTGACTTGGCTGCAGTCGACAATCCCTGCGGCCAATAATGCTGATATAGGGGCCTTAATAATTACAGTAGCGTTTCGGGGCCCATTATATTATAATCATAATACGGAACCCCAACATAGTAAAGGTAATTGTTTAGGCCCCTATCTCAGAGCACGCATCTGCATGATTGAACCCTCGTGCGATCGGAGAAGGGTCGCGCCACACTCACACACTCCAGAGTCAGTGCCAGACACTCTTACTAACAATGCCAGCAGGAAGTAAGGAACACAAAGTTTCGGTTCCAACTGCCTCGGGTTCCCATCAAGGTGGTAATACATATATATATATATATATAGAATCATGGGACTAGTGGCTACGACTATAAATAAGGTAACTATACTATACAGTACACATAGTTACTTATAGTCCGAATAAGTTTACTTAAAACCTTAATAATTTCTTGCAGAGCGAACTTGTGAGGGGAAGTTCGAGGTCTCGGGTTGTAACTGCGATGCTCACGGGTGAGGCAACAACATCAAGGACATCAAAGGTTTAAGTGTCCTGGTACGGAGTCAGTTCGATGTCATGGCTCTGTATACTTTGTATATGGCTGATACATGCTGATATAACGTAATGTCTGTTTTATTGCTACGGATGTTCCGGGACGGGCACAGATCAGGTGCGTGTTTGAGCTGGCCACTTTTCTCCGGAATCGGTGCAGCCGGCCAATCCAGCTTCTGCCAGTGGAGATGTCAATGCTCACGTTTTTGATAGGTCTCTGCTACAGCACGGTAAATTTGGCCTACCGGTGCATCATGGAGGCACGCAACATCACCGTCGCTGGGAGCCTCGAAACAACCCCGTGGCTGGCCACCCTTAGAGCCTCTGGTTGGCTGGCCTTGTTTGGCGGCCCGTTGATTCCGTTCTACATATATCTTGGCCTAGATTTCATGATGAAACTTCGCCGCCTGCCCACTCAGCTGCAGACTTTCGATGCTCGAAAGGCTAGCTGCTACTGCTGCACAGTGCCTGGGGCCTTGTTAGGCTTGAAGTTTCGAGTCCTCCTTTGGAGTAGTGATGTGCGAAAAAACTTAGGTGGATCATATAGACCCTCGGAGCAATGCTCCCATCTTCTGCGACCGACAGCTGATCTTGGAAAAGCTGACGGAGTGGTATGGAGACCCCGAAGACTGCGAAGATACAGATATGGGGATCGATGGAGCGATCGAGCAGTTCAACCACCTGGTGCGCAAGGAGCTCGCCGACGTTTTCCTTGAGATGATGTCGGGCCGCGATGTTCTGTGGCAATACATATACCTCTTGATCGGCATGAACCTCGTCCGTCAAAACCAGGCAAACGATTGAGTCCCGAGAATGGACGGTGCGGAGCCCCATGCTCAAGCTAATCCCAGTGTACAGCGTGCAAACACGCGCAACGCGGCGCCCTCCCAGCCAAGGCGCCATTTTTTAGAACTTTCCCATGCTATAGGCTTATTCTGAGAATACTGTCCTTGCGAGCAGTCGGTAGTGTCTGTCATCTTGTCGCAACATTTTGAGGATACAGGTAAGCTGTACTGCCCCAATATAGATAAAGCGTACTATGACCATATACCCAAAAGCCCTATTCCTCTATAATGAAAAGGATCTCACATTCGTCGAAGTCGGAGTTCGGGCTTTGGGCTGGCGGGATAGATAGGAGTTTCCAAAAAATAGGGGGTACCTTATTTTTGGGGGTCCTTAAGGATCCGACTATTTGGGGTATTATCTGAGGGTCTCCTATTTTCGGACAGATGGGAGACCGAGGAACTGTCCGGTCTGCACCTATCTCCTGGGCGACATGGGCTTCCCCCCAGAATCCATGGAAGGTGGGAGCTACCATGTCTTGAGCCCGGACCCAACTTGTTGCCCTCTCTCTTCTCATACATCCAATAAGCAAACCCTCCTCCCAGAATCCATGGAAGGTGGGAGGGTTTCCACCGCATGTGCTTACATAGCCGGTGCTCCAATGGCTGCACCTCTTCACTAAAGCTCTCCAGGCTTAGGATAAACTCCCCAGACTCTCCAGCCATCGTATCCGACTCAGCTGAGATTTCAGACCCGAAACCTTCAAGCGAGGCCTCATGAAGGGAAAGAGAGACTGTCCCGCAACCCCAGCTTGTCAAAGTGTTCGGCACAGGCTGGGCCCTGCATTCCTGGAGAGCAAGAGAGTGCACCAGCTTCGTCCACCTCTTCTTGCAAGTATTTGCTGCGGTGCAGATTTTCTCGCGGCCTACATGAACAGGGTCGGTGTGACAGACAGTAGGACATGATATGTCTCATAAGTTTTTGTGGCTCAGGTTATGTGATTACGTTGCTAGTTCTGCCCTGTGGCAATACACATTGAGCCAGACAGAGCGGTTGGCAGGCGCGTTCAGGTGGTCAATTTGGCAAGTAGCCCTAAACCGCCCTAAAACCCTAAACCCCGTTCTTGGATGATCATGGCGAGCCTCGCCAATATCGTCACGGCAATAGCTATCGACGTCGTCACGCACCATCACCAACTTCTTGCCTTCCTCACCATGATCACCACCACCACCATCATCATCAGCAGCGAGACCTTGTGATTGCCAGCTTCGTGATCCTCCTGCTCAGACAAGCATGTAATTATCACCGGCACTGTTATCGTCGTTGTCATGGCATGCAATGCCCTCATCGCCGCCATCCAAATTTTCATCATCATAACCACAAGCGTTTGAACCATCAATGTCACCAGTGTAGACGGCGTTGCTGGCGCCGTCGCCATTGCATCACGACCGGCACTAAGATGACGCCACTGATCTACGGGACACTGCTCCAGGTTCAACAGCGCTAGTTGTGTGCATAGCCTACCAAGGACAGTGTGGACTCTTGGGGCTATATATCTCAAAGATCATCATCGGTTCATGGCTGCTTTGATGTTGACCCCCATTCTGATCGTCTTGGCGGTGGGGCTATTCTACTATCCGTTCCGGCTCTGTTTGGAACTCTCCGTTGACGGCAGCCTGCTGCTGCCATTGACAGCTGTGTCTCGTCACGGTTCAGTTGAAGGCGTCGGGAGCACACGTGGTTTTCTAAGTCCATCAAAAGTAAGACAACTGAGGTTTGAGCTGGCCATGTGTGCGACACCTGTAGCCTTGGTGCACTTCCGCAAAGCAAAGCCTACACCTCTCAAGCTAAAACCCTAAGCAAGAAGAAAGTTGTCAAGGCTCCTTTAAAGGGGTCTACAAGGGCTACTCTAAGGGATCCCTAAGTGTACCCAAGGGTCCAAAGTTGCCCAAGGTCGTGTTTGAGGCCCTGGTCCTGGTGGCATTGAGCTACACGAGTCGATGCTGGGCTGTAACTGTAACTCATAGGAATGATCATTCATAATCAGAATCGCGACAGCAACAACAGTAATAATCATACGGACGACCATGCTCTATCTCAGCTTGAAGCTGTTGCAGTCAGCCTTTGCGACATTCCACAACTTGTACGTGGTAAAGCTGATTCGGGCTCAGCCTTCCTTCTGCGCAAGTCACAATACCAGACTCGTAGCCAGGCTCTCCCGAGATCATGTGATCGCACCGGTCCCTGGACAGGGTCAGCAGCGGCATTAGCACCTGGCCGTCTACATATATATATATATATATATATGTATATACAGATATATATATATATATATATATATATATGCGTGTGTGTAATGCAGATAGATGATTCAATCTCGAGCTTTGCGTGTTGTGCTGCGTGATAGCAACCTTGCAAAACGGATTGAGTGCTCTAGCAGCCCCTACAGGGAAGCCTTCTAGAACCCTTAGGTAGCTTTAGTAGCCATTGAGGCAGTCGAGCCGCTATTTGAAAGTGCTCGCCGAAACCCTGAACTAAGCCCGGCGTCTCCGAGGCCGCTATTGGAATCGATTTCAAAGCCGCTAAGTTAATCTATGCGCTGTGGCCCGAATGCTGCAACTTCGGCTGTTGAAGCCAACAGTTGGGTTCACCAGAAACCCTAACAATCCTGCGGTTCAAATCCCAACCTGAACCCTAGAACCCCCCAGAACCCTAGCTTCAGCCTTAAGAGGATTGGCCACGGCATCCTTCACCCGAACGGCACTGGAGAGTGCGAAGCAGCTTCACAACTGGCAGACCAAATCGCTCAGCCTTAGATCATCCGAGTCGGGACAGGACCGATCGGGGGCAGAGCGTCTATACTGGGAGAGTCTGAATTCAGAATGTTGTTACATTCTTGCATGTCCGACACTGTATGCTTGTTATTCCTCGCCCCGCTGAGATTACCTGCTGGAGTACCCAACCCCACAGACTACCGTGAGAATCCCTGGAGTGCCCAACCCCACAGACTACCGTGAGAATTCCTGGAGTGCCCAACCCCTACAGACTACCGTGAGAATCCCTGGAGTGCCCGGGAACACCAGGGTTTAAGGTTTAGGCTCGGTTCTTTAGGAAATTTGCGTGTAGGAAGGACAAGGCGCTAGGGTGGGGATGTTCGAAGTAAAATAATTTCGAGACCAGTTTCTGAAAGGGCAACCTGGCCGTTAGCACGGCATTTTGGGCTTCATTGTGAAGCTGGGAGGATCTGTCGAGAAATCTGACGACAGCTCTACCAAAAGACGTAGTCTATTCAGACAGGCCCCATTTCCCCACCCGGATTTGCTGCGGGTGTTGCTGATTTTCAATTTCGTAACAGTGGTTCACTTCTGATACACAGCTGCTCAGCATAATAAGTCGGAGAACTTGTGCTCTCGAAGCTTAGTAAGTCTTCTTCGGGTGGTATCGATAAGGAGTCAGTTGCGCTTGTGTGTTCATGGGCAGTGGTGGCGGTTGTGGTGATGGGCAGTGATAGGTGCGAGGCTTGGCCATGGCGACTTGTTGTTGCTCTTTGCGTAGGTTTCAAGGGTTTAAGTTTAAGGTTAAGGGTCTAGGGTTTCTTCCTATTGCCTCGCTTTTGTTTTGTCGTCACTGCTGTTTCGTTCTGTCTTGCCTTCCCTTGGTGATTCGTGTTGGTGTTTGGGTGGAACAGTGCGGCAGTGCATGATGTCGCCCCTCCAGCCAGGACGTTCCGGCAGGCGTAGTGAGCCATGATGGTTTCTTCAGCATATGAGCAAACGTCTCGTGTGTGCTCTGAACGTGCTTGAGGTGGCCTGGGCCCTACACCCTGAATCCGCTTCCTCCAAGGGTTTTGGTCGACTATGACCATGAACCCTGAAATCTAAACCCTAAAAACCCTGAACCCTAAACTTCCAAAAACTTCAAAACAAAACATGAACACACTCTGATAGGGAAAAACCTCAAAAAGCCCACTATATGTGAAGGGCTAAGGCGGTCGGGGCTAGTGTGGGACATAGCTATACACCTGCAGACAGGTTCGCGCATTGGGATCCAACCTGAGCCTAAATACTATACGGAAATACTTCTATTCCTCCATACCGCTAGTTGCACATACGAGGCACCACATAAATGACAGCATGTGTGTGTGTGTGTGTATGTACATAATTTTCTACACGCACACCCGTATATGCGTCTCAGGACTGTTTGTCTGCTAGTCGTTCTGCATGCATGTATGTGATGCATTTATGAATGTATGTATGGATGCTTGGATGTATGTAGAGGCATGCATGGGTATGCATTCATGCATGTACACATGTGCAGGCAGGTTGCATGTATGGATGTATGCATGTGTGTATATGGTTGTATGTGCGTATGCATGCATCGATACATGTATGTATTGTACTGCATTTTATTCCAGGTTGTTATACTGTACCATACTGTATTCACACATACGACTTTACAGATATGATGCGGGCGCACACACACATACACACACACACACACACAATAAGATCAATATACGGTATCTATATGAGCAAATAGTTCCACGCATGCCAGCATAAATTATAGTGGAATAGAACTGAAACAGCTCCGCGGACTAGCATGGTGCAGATCTTGGGCCGGCCCATCCGAATGAGCTCCTCAGAAGGCAGCTCACCCTAAGGGTCCGTGTGCTCATATAGTATTTGCATTGGCCCTAAAGTAGGCCCTGTAGAGGTACTTTAGGTCCAAAGTATCTACTACTTACTATTCGGGTACATGAGCCCTTAGGGTCACGCGAGTACTTGATTTTTTCAGCGGGTTGCGATCTAAGAACAAGTTTTTGTGCGAGAATGGACTCAGTGAAACTGAGTGTATGGAACTGGCACGAGCACCACGTGGTGTTTCTCATGCAAGGACCAAGTGGTCCTGTAAAGTCAGCATCCGACTTTCTGGAAGCCAGACATGTCTGGTCGCAAGCTCCAGATTCTGGCGTCTGCAAAAGCATGTTTTTGAATACTTGTAGGGGCCTAAATATACAATTATCGAGACGATTGTGGGGTTCCTTGGTATAAATGTAGCATGTTGGTCCCCAAAACCCTAATCTAAATATTAGCGCCCCTATATTATATGAAATGATTCTTCAGTTTTTCCCGTGCATTTCACGGCCGAGCCAGAGGCAGCCACACGTAGTTTAAGACCCCACTTCGTGCCTTCTTATGCTTTGTTGTGATTCTGAAGCACTGAGCTGGAGCAACTTCTGACACCATTGGCATGGTCGCTGATGCGAGTTTTGAATAAAGGTCAGGTCATCCGAGAATCACCATCATGGAAGTGACAATGCCTGGCAATTCTGTTTGAGGACAGCATGCGGCACCAAGAAGGCCAGTCTTGTTACCAGCACTGGCCGTGCAGTCGCTGGGAATTACGGTGCAACGCCTACGACTGTGGAGGTTCGAGAAATGAGTCACCGTGCATACAGGCGCCTCCGTGGTTAGTAGTCTATAGGGTCTACCTGAGCATGCATGTCTTCGTGACGCGTTTGTGCATTCGGCCCGAGCGTGCAACCGGTCGGCCTAATATCAAAAGCTTAAGTCTGTACAAGTATGATCTCTTCACGTCAGAGGCATTTATTTCGTGCAGGACATAGCGTGCAAAGCCGCGAATCCCCAGACTAGGCTGCGGAGCCTGGATGATGGAAGCAACATTTCTGACATAGCAGCCTGAATAGTTCCAGGTTCTGTTCCTTCGGGCTTCCTATCATAGTTCCACGATCATATATCCTAAAGCTTTATTCTGGATATTCCGGCCCTTGCAGCACCGAGAAGTCGTTTCATCGGGACGTGAATCTAAGCGATGGCACCGGGTCCGTCCGTTGGAGTTGCTGCCATCACTGGCCCTTCGGCAGGAGGTAAGCTTGACTTTGCCCAGTCGGGCGTTTAAGGTTTAGGGCCTACATAGGGTCGTAGGGTTTAGGGCTCATCGAGCTCAGGGATCAATGACAATGAGTTGTACGTCTAAGCTGTAGGATCAAGGAGGGCATGGGGCATGTGTGGTTTAGTGTCCAAGCTTCAGCAGCGAGTAGACCAGCCTTCTATAATAATATCATTATATAACTGGATAGCCCATCTAAAATTCCCGACGGTGACCCCTCAACCCTAAACCCGAAAGAGACATGCTTGCACTAATCCCTAATTTAGGGATTAGTGCCTCGTCAGGCTGTTTCCGAGTTGCGAGAGCGTAAATCCTAAACCCTAGACCCTAAACCCTTACACCCTAAACCCTGCCTACACCCTAAAGTGCCCTGAAGTGCCCTGAAGCCTTACACCTTATAAACCCTAAAGCCCTGAAGCCTTACACCTTAAAGCCCTAAACACCTAAACCCTAAAGCCCTGAAGCCTTACACCTTATAAGCCCTAAACACCTAAACCCTAAAGCCCTGAAGCCTTACACCTTATAAGCCCTAAACACCTAAACCCTAAAGCCCTGAAGCCTTACACCTTATAAGCCCTAAACACCTAAACCCTAAAGCCCTGAAGCCTTACACCTCAACCCCTAAACCCTGAAGCCCTGAAGCCTTAAAGCCCCAAAACTGAACCCCCAAAAGGGCTGGCCAGGTTCGGGCTCAAGGTCTGGAAACTTCAGTTTGCCTGAGGAATACATCTCAGGCCTTCGGGTCTTAGGTTTTAGGGCCGAGGGTTGTAGGGTTTAGGGACCATCTGTGTCCTACAGCCGGGCTTGACGTTTCGAATGCCTGGGAGGGAGAGAGAGAGAGAGAGAGAGAGAGAGAGAGAGAGAGAGAGAGAGAGAGAGAGAGAGAGAGCGGGTTTTGGCGTTTCATGGTTTTGTCCCGGAGCGCTCTCCAGGAAATGCGAGCTTCCTAAGTCTTACTGCTCGACATGATCGAAGGGGTAAGTCCATTTCAGCGCACGCCAATTAAAACCTCAACTACTCTAAACGTCAAGTCTGCTAAACCTTTAACCTGCTGGTTTTGGGGGTGCTGCCGATCTAGAACATCTGTAACTCCACCCAGTCGGGGCATGAAGCCTTCTGTGTGGCTTAGGAAGCAATGCCGGTGGGTTCCTGAACTGGGATGCAGATTTTGACTGGAGGTAGCGCCAGGATCGGACTGATTAAAAGCATACAGCATAGTGGGTTGGATCTTCTTACGATTGAACCTTGTTAGTCTTGATCGTCCAGCGCAGCTGTCACGAGAATCCTGGGCATCATCTGAAATATGCAATCGACAGCTGGCGGCCGAGGCATCTCGCTCGCTGTGGCATTGGGTGGCTTCGGGCAGCACTGGAGGCAGCACTCGCAGACCAAGGCACGCACAGTGGCGACAGCCGCTCGCTCGCAGCTGTGAACTGCAGTAAGAAAGCACCAACGACTACTTACAACGACCATCACCACCAATAGCAACAAGACCACCACCAACAACAACAACAATAACAACAACAACCACAACCACAACAACAACAGCAGCAGCAACAATCAACAAGAAAAATTACCAAAACCAACAGCAAAAAGCAACACTACCATCAGCAGCAACAACAACGACAAAGACAAACCAAAAACAACACAAAGCACAAACCAACCAACAACAGCACCCACAGTCAATACCCATCAACAGCTACACGCATCAACAACAACATCCAACAATAACAGCATGCATAATCGTAACCACGGCAAAAACAAAGCAGCAACACCACCACCAACAACAACAACAACAACCACAACCACAACCACATCCACAACAACAGCAACCACAACAACAACAACAACATCAACACAACAACAGACAACAACCAACAACAACAACAACAACAACAACAACAACAACAACAACAACAACAACAACAACAACAACAACAACAACAACAACAACAACAACAACAACAACAACAACAACAACAACAACAACAACAACAACAACAACAACACAACAACAACAACAACAACAACAACAACAACAACAACAACAACAACAACAACAACAACAACAACAACAACAACAACAACAACAACAACAACAACAACAACAACAACAACAACAACAACAACAACAACCTTCATCAGCAACAACAACAGCAACAACAACAGCAAAAGCAACAGCAACAGCAACAGCAACAGCAACAGCAACAGCAACAACAAGGTGGCACGTACGTTTGCCGCAGCTGATGTGTGTGTGTAGTTTTTTTGATTTTTTTTTGGGACAAACGCCTGAAAATATCGAGTTGTGTGTGTGTGTGTGTGGTTTTCGTGAACAGGACGATGTTTCGTAACATGCGTTTTCCCTAGTGGTTTGTTATGTTTGTTGGTGAGGTGTTGGCGAAAGTGTCGCAAATACCGTGCTTATCGTGTGTATTGCTAAATTTTGGGGCTCATTTTTGAAGTTTTCGTTTGGAGGGCCCGGAAAACGCGAGTTTTGTTGTATGGGTGGTGTCTCAGAAGTAACTTAACAACAGGGCAACAGGGAGCAACATTGTCATTGTCATGGTTATCACCGTAGGTATCGTCGGCATCTTCCGCATTTAACAATCAACATCCGCAAAACAACACCAACATCATCAACATCCCCCCCCATCCTCCCTTCCCACGAATACACAGAGCAGAAAGAGAAACAGTACATGTAAGCTGCATTCGCATGGACATCATCAGCCCCCCCCACCCCTGCATGGAGATCGAATTCAAATGGAAGTCCGAGCTGGCATGTGCATAAAGTCGAGAGTCGGCACAGTGGTGCCCGGAAACTTTGCAAAAACAAAAAACCGATGCGACATGCGAAACGCATGGGAAAACACCATGAAACACCGCAAAAAAGATGCGTAAATGGACAGCTCAGTTTTTTCGTGTATGGTGCAGCCCGGAAATTGGCCTTTGTTTGAGAAACACCGCCACAACCGAGGCGAAACAACAACGCAAATTCATTTCCGAAGCAGCAACGTGCCAAACCTCGAGGTTCAGCACATGCCAGCCCCGAAATCGCTCCACCCCGCACGGCAGCAGACGCACCTGCCACCAACAACAACCACATCCACAACCACAACGACAAAAGCAACAACAGCAACCACAACAACAACAGCCATCTCACAACCAACAACAACAGCAACAACAAAGACAACAGCAACAGCAGCTGCAAAGACAAACACATCCACAACCGCCCCGACAGCAACAACCGCAACAACAACAACAACAACTACAACTACAACTACAACAACAACAGAAGCAACAACAACAACAACAGCAACAACAACAACAACAACAACAACAACGCCAGCAGCACCAGCAGCAGCCCACAACCACAACCATTAAAATTCAAGCCGACAACCAACAACCGACCACCAAGCACCAACCACCACCGGTCACCACCACCACCGCCAAGCCCTGACCCCTAAATCCTCCCTGAACCCTCTAAGCTCCTCGACCCCGGATCTCCAACCCCCCTCCCTAGATCCGTTTAGGGTTTAGGGTTTCGGGTTTAGGGTTTAGGGCTTCAGTCGGCCCCTCAGTTCCTGGCATATGCGTAGTCCAGGTGTAAAAGGGCTTAAGTTAAGGATTACTATGACAATTTCTTGAGCCACGCTTGGGCGAGCTCCGGATGGCTGCTCCTGGGCTTTTTCAGGCTGTTCAAGCAGGGTCGCGAGCCCTAGCTCTAGGGTTTCGGGTGGCATTCATGGAATCTGGACAAATACGTGTGCAGTTTATGCGGATTTAGGGGTTGAGTGGTGGAAACCACAAGCCCTAAGCGTTGTGCGTTAAGAGATTTTGGGGTATTCGAGCTTTGATGACGAGACGGTTGAGACTCTATAGTGGTAAATGTCATAGCGGCGTCTATGAGCCAAGTCTTGCGGATTTGAGATAAGAAACCGCCGTTTCAGTGCAACCACGCCTGTGGCCTATGGCTTTCCTCACTGAGTCCCGGGTGTTACGGCTCCCTGCTTCCGCAGACCGAAGCTGCCAGGAAATATCTTTCCCTGCTCATCCTCTTCAACGCACGGGCCGCAATGATGTCTACGATCCTGATTTCTGTGTTGGTTGGTGTGCTTCGCATGATGGCCATCCTGCCGAACACAGTGTGGACACAGCTTCCATGCTTTGTATTCTACTTCGTGATGCTCGCGCCCTGGCGGCAAGTGTATTGAGGTGCTATTCGTGCTTATGCAGGGATGAGCTGTCAGAAACGACAGTAGCAGTGACGAAACACTTGCCGTTGTTGTCCCTGTTCGTCAACAGTCGGTTAAGGCCTCCTTGGACGGTCATAAATCGAAGCACAAACCCGATCTCATCAAGTCGCGACCCCTTTGCTCCTCATTTTTGTGGATGGTTCTCGACACGAGTTTGTGGCCCAAGGGGGGCCAGAATTTCGGAAGAGGGCTTGGACGGGGGGATATATCCAGGCATGATAACTTAGGGATGTTGCAGGGGTTCTGGGATACTCATACTAATGGCATCTTCGGATCGCCTCGCATCGTCTTCCTGGACCGTCTCTGCATCCCGCAAGATGACGAGGACCATACTTAAAGGCTCATGGGACTTAGTAAGTAAGGTTATAAGTAGGTTATAATTAGGATAACCCCACTTAGGGGACTTACAACAGGACAAGAATGGGGTCGAGACGTCCCTTCACGTGCGAGTGTCCTTCTCATTTCCAGTTAACACTGGCGCACACGCACTCACGGAGGCACACACACACACAGGCGCGCAGTCCGCCTGCCTGCTTGTCTGTCTGTCCGTGTATGTATGTATGTATGTATGTATGTATATGCATGTACGTATGTGACTATGTACATATGTAGGCATGTACGTTTGTGTATGTGTGCGTATGCGTATGCGTATATATATATATATATGTACATCTCTGTGTGTGTGTGTGCGTGCATGTCTGTATGTCCGTCTGTCTGTCTGTTTGTATGTATGCAAATCTGTGTGTACGTACAGTTGTTACCTCTATGCAAGTTTCTGCTACCGCTACCTAATTGGTGCTACTGCTGCTCAGCTCCCACTCCCCGTTCTTGCTGCTCCTCCTCGAAATCCTCCCGTACTCCTACTTCTACTCCTATACTCCTGCCCCTTCTAATCCTACAGCTGAGTGGATCTGCTACCATGGCAGCTGCTGCAACTACCGCTACTGCGACTGTAACTGCTACTGCGGAGTAGTAATAGCAGAAGTACTAGCCGTGGTGGTGGTAGTAGTGGTAGTAGCAGGAGTAGCAGTAGGAGTACGAGAAGCTGTAGGAGGAGTAGAGCTAGGGGTAGGGGTAGGAGTAGGGGTAGGTGTGGAGTAGGAGTAGGAGTAATAGGAGTAGCAGTAGGAGAAGTTAGTAGATAGCAGTTAGTAGTTAGTAGTATATAATAAGTAGGAAGTAGTAAGCAGTAAGTAGTATGTAGAAAGTAGTAAGTATACAGTAAGTAGTAAGTAGTAACTAGTAAGTAGTAAGTAGTAAGTAGTAAGTAGTAAGTAGTAAGTAGTAAGTAGTAAGTAGTAAGTAGTAAGTAGTAAGTAGTAAGTAGTAAGTAGTAAGTAGTAGTAAGTAGTAGTAGTAGTAGTAGTAGTAGTAGTAGTAGTAGTAGTAGTAGTAGTAGTAGTAGTAGTAGTAGTAGTAGTAGTAGTAGTAGTAGTAGTAGTAGTAGTAGAAGTAGTAGTAGTAGAAGTAGAAGTAGAAGTAGTAGTAGTAGTAGTAGTAGTAGTAGTAGTAGTAGTAGTAGTAGTAGTAGTAGTGGCAGTAGCGGTAGTAGCAGTAGTAGCAGAAGGAGTAGGACGAGTAGGAGTAGGAGTAAGAGTAAGGAGTAGGGGTGGGAGAAGGAATAGGAGTAGGAGTAGTAGTCGTCGTCGTCCAGTAGCATTAGCAGTAGACGTTCTAGTACTAGAGGCAGCAGTAGTTCGAGAAGTACTAGGACTAGGTCCAGGTCTGGGGCTGGACTGGGACTAGGAGTAGTGCATGGCATTGCACTTTGTCAGTTGGTCGTGCTTGCGCAGGCAGCTGTTAGAGAAGAACGGGCGCAGCATTTCGTTGTGAGTGCCGCTCTCTCCCATGCATTACTCCAAGTATCTCGTGTTTGCTTTTGCCCAAGTCGTTCGCGTCTGATTTCCTACCTTTCCTTCTGGGTGGCTTTTGTGTGGGACGCTTGATAGACCGCGAGTGTGTTTCAGGAGGAAAAAGCTGCATGTATTCGCGGCCTTGCTGGTTACCTGGATCGAGCACACACCTTGACCGTCTTATGGTCGAATGACTACTTTGGCCGACTGTGGTGACTTGGCTGCCTTCGACAAGACTTGCAGACAGAGCATTAATCTTCATTCTGCATGATCGAGCCCTGACGGACTTGGGGTTCTCGTGCGGTCGGACAGAGGCGGCGAGTAACAGTTCACTGCGCAGGGCTCACTAACGAGGTGGTCCGCGTTCGCCGTTTGATTGCTACTAGTATGTACTATGGCTGGTAGGTACATGCTTGTACGGCATAACCCATGTTTCCACTCATTTAGGCTATTTTGATGCGGATGCACTGAGAACGCTGGGTAAGAGCAAGGTCGCACAGGGACGAGAACAGAAATGGAACAGATGAGGGCTCAACCACTACGGCACCTACAATCATCATCATCATCTTCAATATCACCATCAACAGCTAAGGTGCGTGTTTGAGCTGGCCACTTTTCTCCGCAATCGGTGCAACCGGCCGATCCAGCTTCTGCCAGTGGAGATGTCCATGCTCGCCTTTTTGATAGGACTCTGCTACAGCATGGTAAATCTGGCCTACCGGACCATCGATGAGGCACGCAACTTCACTGTCCCTGGTAGCCTGGAAGCAACCCCGTGGCTGGGCACCCTGAAAGCCTGTGGTTGGCTGGCAGTGATTGGTGGTCCAGTGGTTCCGTTCTTCATATATCTTGGCCTAGACTTCATGATGAAGCTTCGCCTCCTGCCCACGCAGCTGCATACTTTCGACGCTCGAAAGGCTAGCTGCTACTGCTGCACAGTGCCTGGGGCCTTGTTAGGCTTGAAGTTTCGAGTCCTCCTTTGGAGTAGTGATGTGCGAAAAAAACTTAGGTGGATCATACAGACCCTCGGAGCAATGCTCCCATCTTCTGCGACCGACAGCTGATCTTGGAAAAGCTGACGGAGTGGTATGGCGACCCCGAAGATTGCGAAGACACGGATACGGGGATCGATGGAGCGATCGAGCAGTTCAACCACCTGGTGCGCAAGGAGCTCGCCGACGTTTGTCTTGCGATGATGTCGGGTCGCGATGTTCTGTGGCAATACATATACCTCTTGATCGGCATGAATCTCGTCTGGCAAGAACTGGCAAATTTTTTTCGGACCCGAGTATGGTAAACAACCTCATCATTCAGATTCTTTTGCTTAGTTATCATTAGTCAGCTGTCATTATTACGGTTACTACTATCGTAATTACTACTCAATTCAGTACTACCATGATCATCAATATTACTATGTTCTGGTGTTGTTACTAATGGTTTATAGTAATGTGATTACTATTGTCACTATGACTATTAAGGTTCCATGCGGTGAAGGCTGTCAGGTTGCGATACTGTATAGCGGTTTAAGGTTTAGGCTTCAAGAAAGTCCTGCAAAAATGGATCTCAGAATCTATAGCTCTGGTCGTCAGGGTTCGGGGATTGGCATGCCGAGGAATCGTTGTTTCCTTGCCAGATTCGAAGCCGAGGAACTGCCATGTCTGTGCCTATCTCCTGGGCGACATAGGCTTCCCCCCGGACTCGATGGAAGGTGGGAGGTATGGTGTTTGGGGTCACGGGGCTTCCTGTTGCTCCAGAGGCTGCATATATTCGCGAAACCCCAATCCGGTAACCTGAGCTTGGCACCCGACTTCTTCCTCTTTCGTTCTGCCTTAGTTTCGAACTACGGATTCTCATTGAGCGTGGCATGGCATGGCTCTCCGTTTTCGGGCAACCCTAAGTCTTCCCTTCAGGCACATCTGCCTGCTAAGCAGGCGCAGGCCTAGTGATTCCCGAGGAAGCTACATCCCACAACTCTGAAGGCAGAGTTCAGCCGAGATTTCACACCAACTATGCCAGAGTAGATCCTCGAACAGTGAAAGAACACCACGACGACTATGACGACCATGATCATTTGAGCATGACGGCCACGACCACTAAGACCTGGACGACCAGGGCGACCACGACATCCAGGTGACCACCAAGAGACCAGCAAGAAACCAGCAGGAGATCACCAGCAGACCGCCAAACCAATTCCTTTGTCCCATAATGTGAGAACTCCATAGTGTTGCTTTGTGGAAAACTTTCGATCGACCCTAAACCCTATCCCCTCATCTCATCTAGTGCTGGGCACACAGGCTGGGCCCTGCATTCCTGGAGAGCCAGAGAGTGCACCAGCTTTTGCCACATCTTCCTGCAAATATTCGCAGCGGTGCAGTTGTTCTCGAAGCCTGCATGAACCGTAGCACCGGAACGCCGTCGGTATTCACCTAGGCCTAGGCCTGGAATATGCGTGTGGTTGAGATTGTGATACTGTGTTGCCAGGTTCACCCTTTGCTAAAAACATTTGAGCCAGATTTATATACAGTAGAGATGCAGTAGAGGCTAGCAGGCGCGATCAAGTGACAAGGTTCGCTGGTGACCATAGGAATGATAACGAGCATCACCCTAATCGCCTGGGCAGTAGTCGTTGCTGCCATGCACCATCACATTGCTGTATTCGAAGCTGTTGTATGCCTGCTACTCATCATCGCCCTAGCCGTAGCCCTCGTCATCACAATCATCACCATGGTCACCGTCATCCTCGCCACCAATATCATCACCATCAGCAGCAGCACCTTCGTCATCGCCATGTGGAACTGGGATTGCCACCTTCGTGATCCAGGTCCTTCAATTGAGGATGATGGGGTGTTGGGGTTGTTTTTCTTGTTGTTTGAAGGGGGGAGGAGGTTTTCGTTCTGTTGCCACGCTGCGAAATAAGTTCCTCCCCCGACCCCCGCCCCGCCTCAAAAACAACGGCTCACCCAACAAGTTCTCAGTTTTTGAAAGGGAGGTGAGGGGTAGGGAAGATACTGAATCTTAGGATTTATAAGGTTTAGGGTTTAAGGGTTCAGGCTTAGGTTAAGAATGCCTGGGAGAGAGAGAGGGTTTAGGTTAAACCCCGAAGTCTCGGCGGAGGATCAGATCAACCCCTAAAAACTTTGTAAACCCTCAACCCTAATCGTGTAGGGGTTCAGGCTTTGGGGTTCACGGTCTATTCATCGTACCGAATGCCTGGGAAAGAGGGAGAGAGAGAGAGAGAGAGAGAGAGAGAGAGAGAGAGAGAGAGAGAGAAAGAGAGAGTGTTTATAATCATCATCACAACCATCATCATCTTCATCGTCACTAGTCCTGCCGCCAGCGTTGGAATCATCGTCCCGTCTAGTCTTGTTGGTTGGTGTGCCGGAGTAATAAGCGCCACGGCAGGCAAGGTTAGGTGTGGGTTCAGCTCGAGCTTCAGTAGTGCTAGATTGGTGCACAGTATAAGGTCCTGAACAACCCTATCTAAGTATTAAGGCTCTCTTGGATAAGCTGACATGGGATGTCCGGCGTCGTGTTTGGGGGCTGCTCACTAAGGACAGTGTGGACTTTTGGGGCGATATATCTCAAAGATCATCATCGGTTCATGGCTGCGTTGATGTTGACCCCCATCCTGATCGTCTTGGTGGTGGGGCTATTCTACTATCCGTTCCGACTCAGTTTGCAACTCTCCGTTGACGGAAGCTTTCTGCTGCCGCTGACAGCTGTATCTCGGCATGCTTCAAGTAAACGTGTTGAGAGCACACGTCACAATTAGGGTCCCTTTTGGGGTCCATGATACGGCACTTATTATTTAGAGTACTTTAAAAGGGACCATAATTTTGACAGCCGCCCACATGTCTTTTAAGTCCGTCACGCAGACAGCTAACACGTTTGATTGACACTTGTGGCGCCATAGCCAAGGTCGCCTTTGAGGCTGTTGTGCTTGTGGCATTGAACTACACAAGCCGATGCTGGGCTACTGTCATTCGCAGCCTTTCCCCTTCTAAGGCTTAAGCCGTTGAAACCAAATTTTGCAAGTTTCCACAGTTTGTATGTGCTGTGATGGGTCGGGCTGATATAGCATGGTCTTCCTTCAAACCCTAAACTAAAGCTCGCACCATGGCCTCCTCGGCCTTTCAAGGATTGGCCACGGCATCCTTCACCCGAACGGCACTGGAGAGTGCGAAGCAGCTTCACAACTGGCAGACCAAGTCGCTCAGCCTCGGGTCATCCGAGTCGGGACAGGGCCGACAGGACCGGGGGGGGCGGGGGGCAGAGCATTCTACACCCTAAACCCTAAACCGTTTTGTCCGAGTGTGAGCGCCGAAACCGTTTTGGAGGGTTTGGTATGTTTTTGGGGTTCAGGGCTTGATGAAAGTCACTGTCACGTATGCTGCCAGCTTCTACGGGAAGTCCGTCATTGTCGGGTGTTCATGGTCAGTGGTGGCGTTGATGGTGATGGCAATTCGAGGCCGTGCGGCATTGTTGCTGCTGGTTTTGATGTTGATATATGTTGATCCTCTGTGGCCGTTGCCGTTCTTTTAGTCTAGTCTTTTTCACTTTGTTACGGTATCCACAACTCGCATCACCCGTTGCGAGCTTTTTCCAAAAAGCAAGAAAGAGACGGCCCACAGGATGTGCCGACGGGCATGGTGAGCCAGGACAGTTTCTTCAGCATATAAGGTGTCATCTGTGCACTGATGTGCACCTATTCGATTCGACTGCTGCGGAAGGTTACGCACGCCTCGTGCAGCGAAGAGGAGCTCGGAGCTAGTGCAAGACACAGCCTAAGGCCTAAGTTTTTCAGGTCGACGGTATGGTGGCGCAGGTACCCAGAGAGCCCAATACCCCTTAATTAAGGAATATGGCTTGAATTACATAGGGCTCCATATTATGGTTTAGGCTATATTCCTTAATTAAGGGGTATTGGGCTCTCTGGGTAGTTCTATGCAGAACTTGGGAGAAGCTCTATCTCCGAGCCATTCATTTCCAGATTTCCTCCGCAGCGATCTTGCCTTTTGATTTTCCATACGGGAACCCGAAGCACTTAATTACATGGTAACTCGGGACCTAGGGGCCTGAAATCAGATCATGCCACACGATCCTATGTGAGAAGTGTCTTCTAGGAGCTCGGCATGGGTTCCTATCATGCGGGTTCCTTTAATGCTCATTCGCCCTCCTTGACACTCTCCCGACAGGGTTCTTCCAAGAATCTGAACTTACAGTGCATGTCGTCTTTCCGTTCTACAGGGAAAACATGTGCAAGCCGTGCCAATACTGCAAATAAATATAGGTTCTACTCTGTCAAGCATTGGGATCTAACCTGACCCTTAGAAAGCGCAGAACTGAATGGAAGCACAAGTATATGTATTTCAGCATTACACTAATCGCACTAGCAAGTATGCATGTATGTATGTATGCGGGTCTGTTTGCAAGCGTGTATGTATGTAGGCCAATTTGCATGTAAGTATGTACATATGCATGTATGCATGTGTGGTGAGTATCGTATGTACTGTATGTAGTATATGTATGTATTTTATGTGTGTATTGTAGGTATGTATTATAGGTATGTATGTATGTATGTATGTATGTATGTGTGTACAGCATCGCGTCCCCCATTTATTCAACACACCCCTACTCATAACAGCATTTTGGGGCCAATGCTTCCGAAATCATCCCTGCCCTTTAACACCGAATTTGCATTGGGGGGTCCGGAGCAAGAGCACGAGCAGGAGTAAGAGCAAGAACCAAAAGCAAGAGCAGGAGCAAGAGCCAAAGCAAAGGCATGAGTAAGAGGAAAAGCAACAGCAACATCCAGAGTAAGAGTAGTGAGTAGGACGAAGAGCAAGAGCAACAGCAAGAGCCGGAGCAAGAGCGTGAGTAAGGGCAAACGCAACAGCAACATCAAGAGCGAGAGTAAGAGGAAAAGCAAGAGCAGGAGCAAGAGCAAAAGCAAGAGCAAAGGCAAGGGCAAGAGCAGGAGAAAGAGCAAGAGCGGGAGCACGAGTAACAGTAGGAGCAAGGACAAGCGCGTGACAAGAGCCAGATCAGGAGCAAGGGCAAGATCCATCACAAGTGACAGTAGAGATAATAATACCCCCTGATATTGAAAGCACTTCCCTATCTTTTATCGGGGAGGTGTTTGATGTTACGCGGAAAGGGTTTGTCTGTATGCAAGCATGCATGCATGCATGCATGTATGTTTGTTTGGTTGTGTTAATGTTGGTTTGAACTTGTGAACTTGTGCATGTATGCTCGTATAGGTATGTATATATATATATGTATACATGTGTATATATATATATATATATATTGTGTATATCTATCTACACATACACTTTGTACATATATATATATATATAGATAATTACGTCTGTTTGTATGTATGTACTTATGCTAGTATGTATGTTTATTTGTTTGCTTATGTAGGCAGGCATGCATGTATGTATGTATGCAGGCAGGTATGTAAGTATGTACGTAAGTATGTATGTACAGAAGATTATACTACGAAAACATGCATACATGCATATACATGTATATACATGTATACACACATACACGTGCAGAGAATTTTCTATCGGCTTATAGCTTGCCCACAAATGCCAACCAAACAAAGGACACATAATGTCCACAGCTTCGTAGACAAGACTAGTATTATGAGAACGCTTGAGCCGGACCATGTGGGTGAGCTCTAGAAGGAAGGGCCACATGCATCCTTCGTTTTCCGGCGTAGTGCGAACCATCTTTTCGGGCGAAAATGGAGTCCTCGAAACGGACTGTTTGGAACTGGCATGACTGCACCGTTGTGGTGTTTCTCATGCAAGGACCAAGTGGTCCTGCAAAGTCAGTCTCTGACTTTCTGGATGCGAGACACATCGGGTCGGAAGCTCCAGATTCTGGCATCTGCAAAAGCAGGCCTTTCAAACTGGAATGATTCTTCGGTTTGGGATCAAGACGCACCACTAGACACCCCAACCCTCCAACCCTCTACCAGGTCAGAGAGTCCAGTAATGGCGAACCTTCCCCTGTGGTCGAGATGTCGTGGCAGCGTTCCTGGGTCTCAAAGCACCGGGCGATATTGCAAGCCGGCTATCCAGTCGACCCAAACCCAACCCTTACATTTTGCAGGGTGCGGCGGGCTTGAAAAGCAAAATGCCTCTACTTTTACTTCGCTGGGCCTATCGCCCAACCCACTGCCTGCTAAGCAGCAGGTGCAACTGCGAGCGCACAACACTGCGAGCAATCTGCAAGCACTCGCAGTCGCCCACACACGTGTCGTGGGGCTAGTGGATCCACTTTACTGCACACACGCGTGCATCTCGCCTGCCGTGCGTGTCGGACAAACTCGGCACATCATGGCCGAGTCTGAGGCAGCCTAGCATGCTTAAGAACCCAATTTGCGGCTTCTTGTGCCTTCTCGTCTTTTCTCGTGGTTCCGAAGCAAATCTGAAGTGGCATTTGAAAGCTGTTTCGAGTGCGACGGAACAGGGAGGTACGAATAGCCCACGAGAGTTTCACTCATTTCACTCTGTGCGAGCTGACGTTTTTCATAAGGCGAGGGTCGCTTTTCCACGGCGTTGGCGACGTGGGTGCGTCGATGCTGATACCTTGACGGCTAGTGTTCAACACGGCCTTTTTGGGATTCATTCCGTCGAAAGCATGACAGCACGGATTCAAAAAATGCTTTCCTCAGGCCGTGACATGGAACGGTCAACACTACAAAAGGAAGTCTTGGCACTGTGCCCTTCTGACTCGGACGGAAGTTATTAGATACCCCTGTAGCCCGGATGTTTATTTGGAACCTGTTGTCTTGCAGATGGATGCTGTGGCATGGTCGCAGTCGGGGCGATCTGTGTGGAAGAGTGGTCCATGCCACACTATGGGTACCGTGATTTTCTTGTGCCTTGTATATACTTCTTAGAGCATCATACCTGCCAATTCTAGAACCCCTACGACTGGAAGTTTGTGCAGTAAGTCAGGCTTCATACAGGGGCCTCAGCGATTAGCAGTCGGTCGAGGCTCCACCGTAGCATGCAAAGCTTCCTTCCTGACGCGCTTCGGCATTCGGCCCAAGCCCGCAACAGGCCACCCCCAATTTGTGCAAATTCCGACATCTGCCCCAACCTGGCAAGGGAGCACTGACACATGGGGGCAGCAAGGGCTAGCGACACTTAAAATCTAGAACTTGAACATCTATATCTATCCTAGGTGTGAGGGAGACCCCTTTAAGAGGAAGCCTTCTTTCTCTAATTGGGTGGTTGTCAAAATTCGGGTCCCTTTTTGGGTCCTTATTATAATACGGCACCTAATATTTAGGGTACCCAAAAAGGGACCATAATTTTAACAACTACCCAATTAGGTAACGAAGAGTCGTCTAGCGGGACGTGAGCCCGAGCCATGGTTCCGGGTGCGTCCGTTGGAGTTGCTGACATCCAGGGCCCTTCGGCACGATGTAAAGCCCTACAGTAGAACCCCATAAAGTTGGAAACCGGATTGAGGCCAAATAGTGCTGGGATTCCCTGTACATTACTCTGCAGGATTGAGGCTATTGGGTTTCCAACTTCTAGGCTTGTACTGTAAGCCTAAACCCGGTAACCCTCAACCCCTAACCCTAAACCTCACTGCTCCGATTCCTTCTGTTCTCCAGGATCTGGGGCGTTTAGGGTCCAGGGTAGTAGGGTTAATAGAGCTTGCATGGACCTGATAAACAACGGATTTAGGGTTTACGGCTTCTGGGTTTCAGGCTCCGCGCTTCTAGGGGTATATCTTGCAGGACTAGGATTTTTTTCAGCTCGCTCGAGGAAGAGCAAGGTTGCCCAGGAGCGCTTTGGAAATGGTATAAGGCCATTTCAGTGGGCGAGAAGCCCCAAACCCAATCTCGAAAAGGGTGAACCTGCCGTGGTGTGTTGGACGAGCTAGAACTCGACCCTGTCGGGACATGAAGCCTGTCATTGCAGAGCTTGAGTCATAGATGATTTAGAGAGAAAGGGCTGCAGGGGTGGGGAGTTCAGATTGCGACTTCAAGCAGGCCAGGAACTTCTAGAATGGGTTCCGAGTACTTGGAGGCTCATGGGTAGTTATAAGTGGAGTTTTAATCAGGGTAACCAGAAGTATAACCCATATATTGGGGGACTTATAACCCTTCTTATAGCTGCCCATGAACCTCCAGTAGTTGTTTGCTAAACGTGAAGGGAGCAGAGCTCTACCAGTGACGCACCTGCACCGATTGGCAACCCCGGCTTTCCAAGCGTACTGCGTTGAGGGGTTTTGATAAACTTGCAATTTTAGTGTCGCTAGTAGTGAGTGACAGCATGAGTGTCACGAGAATCCTGGGCATCACCTGCGATGATCATTTGGCAGCTGTGGCAGCCGAGGTGTCTCGCTTGCCGTGGCATTGAGTGGATTAGGGGGGCACTGGAAGCAGCACTCGCCTGCCAAGGGGCACGTAGCGTTGACAGCCGCCGGGTTGCAGCTGTGAGACACCTTAAACTATGTCTTAGCAACCCCAATCATATTATAGAATAAGGTAACATGGCGAAGAATGCCGGCAGAGATGGCCGCAATGGGTCGTGCACTGGTTCGTTATATGCCATCACTGCTCCATCGTCTTCATGCTCGGCAGCAGTTGCCATCCGATCATGAGCTGCATTCGGCAATCATCACGCTCATTGCCACTATCACGACTATGTTAAAAGTTTCCTGAGGCTTTCCCAGTATAACACTGTTGCAACTATATGTACATGTTGGCTACCCGCCTACCTAGGGACATTGAAAGCATTCGGTTTAAGGATTCGGCATTCTGGGTTCCGGGATTCGGATTTCAATTCTGCAGCTTAGGGCATGGAATCCAAGTTTTCGAGTAAACCATTTTTGGTGTTGTGTGAGAGAGCAGCTTTTCTTCAGAGCCTTGCTCCAAGAGGCTGTGCTTACGAGAATCAGGCAGTTTATAGGCGCAAAGTTAAGTCGGGTTTAGGCAGAAGAGGAGCAGCTACAAACCCTGTGCCAAACACTTCAGCAGAACTTCGTCGAGTAGAAGCTTGATTCAAAATCTTGCATGAGGAGTACTATGACAATTTCTTCAGCCACGACTGGAAGAGCTCCGGACGGCTGCTCCTGGGCTTTCCGTGAAATTTGAAATTCCGGCTTAGGGTTTGCGACTCTATAGAATAGACATAAAAGGCCATAGCCCTTAACAGTAGCCCTATTATAGACTGCTACTGTATGGGGGCAGCACCCAAACTCAACCTCTCTTGCACTCCACGCTCGCCGTGGACATTGTCCGAGTCCACTTGCAGGCTCACGGGCCTTAGTAACTAGAATTTCTTTATAAATACAACCCCAACTACGGTACCTGTAGTCTGACTGTGACTTCCTAAGTCCATGATCCCCCAAGCAATATCTGCGACAGTTGTGGGACCGGGCTGGGAACGCGGGAAAGAAGCGGCATGTGGTCGGCCGCAAGCTCCGGTGAGCTTAGGTTTCAGAGGAGGCAGAAAACCGGATTTCACATGTATGAACCCTGAACCCAAAAGCCTTCAGTGAGTTGAGAGAGCTCAAAACCCTACACCCTAAGATTCTTGAACATGACGGACATATGGGAGTTTCCGAATCGAGGACCCTTATGTAGCACCCTAAATAGATCCTTCTTATACGGACCCCAAAACAAGGTACCCTTACTTTCGGAAGCTCCCATATCTTGGCCTCGAGAGGATTCCGGAGGCTGTAATGTAATCCTGGACGGTTGCGAGTCTAATAGTACTATTACTATTGCTATTTCAAACACTATTCCTATATTGCAATCACTATATTAGTGGCGAGTAGATGATGGTAGATGAGTGCATTACAACATCAGGTTGCATCCATGTTGTAGTTGTAGTTTATTTGGTATGCCAGCTCCCCAGATAAACAACAGATACACACACTCGTATTATTAGCAAGTTGGCAAACAGGCTGTGCATACTGAGTCCGGGCGTGCTCCGCGTCCCTGCTCTGCACACTTAAGCTGCCAGGAAGTATCTTTCCCTGCTCATCCTCTTCAACGCACAAGCCGCCATGGTTTCTACGATCCTGGTTTCTGTCTTGGTTGGTGTGCTTCGCATGATGGCCATCCTGCCCAACCTGGTGTGGACACAGCTTCCGTGCTATGCATTCTATTGCGTGATGCTCGCCCCGTGACGGCTAATCGTTGCGGTGTCATGCATGTGTTTTGTTGGGGTGCTTTTCGTGTTTCTGCAAGAGCGCGGAGGGATGGGCATGGTCTGATGCCATATGCCTTTCGCTGTAACTCTTACCCCGATCTTCCAGTATCCCTTCATCAAGAATTAATCATATTAGGGAACATACTGTAGTATGTTTTAGAAGGTTGAAACCCCAATCGAGTGATTTCGGAAGATCTCGGTTGCATGTTGTTTCGGCATTCTTGGCCGGCTCAGAGTCCGATTGGCGAGGGTGATGGTGGTGCCAATGTAGTTTAGGGGTTTAGGGTTTAGGGTTTAGCGTTCTGGACTTGCAGCGTATTTTGATATTTTTTCGATTTGTTTGTTCATAAGTCTGTAGTCCCTAGAAGAAAAGTGGAAGGAAACCCCGGAGGCAAAACCCAAATCCCGGGCATTTCGGATCCTTTTTGAGGAGTCTGTTTCAGGCGAGGGAACTACTCATCTACGCCCTAATTCAGAAGTTTCTCATTCACATGTTGAGCTCAAATCCGAAACCTTAAACCCAGCATGATAGCCCCACAACAAATCCTGTGAACCCCTTTGGAAAGTTTACGGAGGCCCTGTAAAGGAACCATTCTGTATAGGAAGCTTTACCAGGTTTTCTGGCAGCCGATACGTGGCATCTTTCGATCGCATCGTATCGTCTTCCTTGACCGGCTTTGCATCCCGCAAGATGATGAGGACTGGTGGCCTTACCCAGCGGCCCCAAAGTAGTTCCTTTTTAGGTAGTATATTAAAGTCCCTAACCAACAAACAGGACACACCCAAAAAGGAACTACTTTGGGGTTCTGTCTGCCTGGTTGGCTGGCTGGCTGGCTCTCTGTCTCTCTCTCTGTCTTTCTCTTTGTCGTTCTCTTTCTGTTTCTACGTACCTACCTACCTACTTACGTACTTGTAGTGGTTTATTGATTCACGGGTCCATACCGGCAGTTCTCAAAGTTAGGGTCGAGTTTTACAGTGTTTTTTCAGGCGTGGCATACTCTTTCGGGATCAGACGGGGGGCTGCTGTCCTAGTGCAGAAGTGCTCATGAATTCTTTACGGCCAAGTTGGCTTCATGTCCCCAGATCCCGTTTGAGAGTATCTCCAGGTCACAAAGAGCACTTGTGACGACATGAAGAAAGTGTGAATAGCCCTGCCCAACACACCAAGCCTCAATCCTTGTTGTGCTTCTCTTCGTAAATGTATCTTGGTCCCATCATCATAGACCTCGTCGTCTTGCTATCACAAGTACAGGTACACCAGCAAGTATTAGTAGCAGTAGTCGCAGCAGTAGCAGTAGTAGCTGTAGTAACAGTACCAACAGTGGTAATCGTAGTAGCAGTAGCAGTAGCAGTAGCAGTAGCAGTAGTAGTAGTAGTAGTAGTAGTAGTAGTAGTAGTAGTAGTAGTAGTAGTAGTAGTAGTAGTAGTAGTAGTAGTACTAGTACTAGTACTAGTACTAGTACTAGTACTAGTACTAGTACTAGTACTAGTACTAGTAGCAGTAGCAGTAGTAGTAGTAGTAGTAGTAGTAGTAGTAGTAGTAGTAGTAGTAGTAGTAGTAGTAGTAGTAGTAGTAGTATTGGTAGTAGTACTAGTAGTCGTAGTCGTAGCAGTAGTACTAGTAGTCGTAGTCGTAGCAGTAGTAGTAGAAATAATAGTAGTAACCGTCGTCGTCGTAGTACTAGTAGTAGAAGTATCAGTACGGCCCTAGTAGAAGTCTTCGTCGTTGTCGCGTCCTCCCCGTGTTCCTCTCGAGCAGTATCCGTCCGGTCGTCGACCTGCTGGCCCTACAGCAACATACCAAGCATTTGTTGGTCATCATCCCCCCAAGTGGCATCCGGCAGCATATCAGGAGAAGAAATCGGAATGCATTCGCGGTCTGGCTGGTTACCTTGATCGAGCACACACCTTGACCGTCTTGTGGTCCAGTCACTACTTCGGCCGCCTTTGGTGACTTGCCTGCCGTGGACAAGCTCTGAAGCAGCTAGGACAGCCTTGCATGTTCCAACCCCAAACCCCCAACATATTCGAACTTCCCATCACCTTCGCACTTTAAATGTGCGTGCTGTGACCTGTGAGATGCTGAGAGGGCCGGGTGGGGCAGAATAAGGGCTCAGTGCCGCTTCGCTCCGGAAAAGTGTCACTACCACCCCTGGAAACAACATTTTCCCCAAACCGGTCCGACACCCTCGTGAGAGCGGGCGTGCGATCACTGAATGGCCCGAGCAACAATTGACAAGCAACGCCGGACGCGAAGCAGTCAGGAACTTTGCTACAATGCTCTGGCTGGTGGTCAGCTTATTGTTGACTGACGGAGTAGCACCCATCCGAAAGTACAGCATCCTCGCAAGCTTGGCCTAGTGGGCCAAGTAACAGGGTGGCAAGACGTCATCCTTTGCGCCGACTGGTGCACATGTACTTTGAATGACAGTTTTAACGATATGCTCTGACGGATGTACCATAGTATCATATAACATCAGTATGGACGCTGGGCATGCTTGGTGGCAGAGCTGTGATGAGAACAGATAAGGTGCGTGTTTGAGCTGGCCACTTTTCTCCGCAATCGGTGCAGCCGGCCGATCCAGCTTCTGCCAGTCGAGATGTCCATGCTCGCCTTTTTGGTGAGTCTCTGCTACTGCATGCTGAATCTGGGGGTCCGTGCCATCAACGAGGCACGCAACGTCACCGGCCCGAGTAGCCTCGGCGGGGCACGCAACGTCACCGGTCCTGGTAGCCTTGGAACGAGTCCTTGGCTAGCAACCTTGTACGCGGCTGGTTATGTGACAGCAATTGGTTGCTTGATGCTTCCGTTCTACCATTACATTGGCCTGGGCTTCATGATGAAACTTCGCCTCCTGCCGCAGCAGTTGCGCACTTTCGATGCTCGAGAGGCCAGCTGCTACTGCTGCTCAGTGCCTGGACCCTTGTTATGCTTGACGTCTCGAGTCCCGGGTCCCTTACCGGGGCACCTTATATTAAGGATCCTACTAAATAGGGTACTATATTAGGGGCCCCAATTTTCGGAAACTCCCATATGCTGCAGACTTAGGTAGATCACGTGAACCCTCGGACAAAAGCTGCAATATTCTGTGACCGGCAGCTGATTATGGAAAAGCTTACGGAGTGGTATGGAGACCCCGAAGATTGCGAAGACACGGATATCGTCCTCGATAGAGCGATTGGGCAGTTCAACCACCTGGTGCGCAAGGAGCTCGCCGACGTTTTCCTTGAGATGATGTCGGGCCGCGATGTTCTGTGGCAATACATGTACCTCTTGATCGGCATGAGTCTTGTCTGACAAAACCAGGCCAGCATGTATGAAGACCTTACATATCTTCATATTCAAATTTGCTGTCAGGACACAGTTTGCAAGCAATAGCATCACGAGGCTTTTAGGTCTCAGAAGTCTCCTAACATGTTGACACACATATAGAGCTCGAGTGCTGATGCTGATAAGAGTCTCCTTGCACGCAGTCCCTGGTGGCTTCCTGCCGCACTTGCGCAGTTCTCAATGGATATCAGATCCCAGAGGGCTCTGGCGACAAGTGTTCAGTCTGCGTGATGCCGCATTGACGCCTGAGGAACTGTCCCGTTTGTGCCTATCTCCTGGGCGACATGGGTTTCCCCCCGGACTCGATGGAAGGTGGGAACTGCGGAGTGCAGAGCTTCTAGACCAGATCCTACTCCTACAAGGTTACAGTAGAAGCCAGAAAGTTGGAATATCATTATCGTAACCCCTGGCCGGCACCTCAGTCCGTGCTGAAAAAGGTAAATTATAGGGGATCCTACCATTAATCCATATTCCAACTTTCTGGAGTTCCCTTTAAGCCCTTCAGTGTCTTAAGCCAGGACCAACTTTTTCTTCTCCTCGCTTGCAACCAAGTAGAACTTGTTTTTTGGATATCCCAAACTCCTAGTCCAAGCCCTAGGCCCTGAGCTCATGTTGCTTTGCCCATGTTCTACACTTGGAGGATCATGGGACTTAGTAACTGGGGTTATAAATAAGGTAACCATACGTATAATTACTTATAACCCCAACTAGGGTACTTATAACCTTACTTACTAAGTCCCATGATCCTCCAAGCAAGCAGGTTGGTCTCTGCATTCGTGGAGAGCCAGAGAGTGCCTCAGCTTCGGCCACATCTTCCTGCAAATATTCGCAGTGGTGCAGTTGTTCTCGAAGCTTGCACGAACCTCACAACTGGAACGAGGTCGGTCTTGGCTTACAGCAAGGTTCGATGTTTGCAAGTTAGTTTTCTCGTGCAGATCTTGTCGAGCCAGTTATGGAGCCAGTCAGGCACGACCAGGTTCGACAAGCAGTTGATACCTGGAGCCCTTACAGTACCAGCTCCCGCGATAAGACTTGTGCAATTGCATATATCTCCGAAGTAGTGGTAGAGCACCGAGACGACCATGACGACTCCTACGACGACGACCACCGCAACGACCATCCCCGCCACCCACACCACCACCACTACCACTAGGGCTATCAGGACCATCAGCACTGCTACGGCTACCACGACAGCTACGACAGCCACGATCTACTGCTAGGAGGCTAAGACACCGACCACAAATACCACCAGGATCACCACAACTACAACCGCAACCAGGAGGCCACCAAAACACGACCAGCAGACCACAATGAGACCCAGAGACTACCCAAGTACCTCCAGAGACAACGAGGAAACCAACTGGAGATCCCGACAAGACCACCAGGAGGCCACGGTCAACATGCTTCCTGCCATCTAGTAAAGGATTCACAGCCACGGCCACAATCTTTCCCCCCACTTACTGGCGGGGTTCAATCCATTGGCAATGATCATCTTTGTGCGGGATTCAGGACTATTGTGCTAATGCTTGCCCCCCGTACCTGCTCGTAACGGTCATGATGACATTGGCAGTGATGACAATGGTGATGGTGCAGGTGAAGAAGAAGATGACGATGGTGATGATGTTGATGGTTAGGATGATGATCAGGGTGGTGATGACGATGATGATGTTGTTGTTGGTGGTGGTGAAGACTGCGGTTAGAAGAAAAAGAAGATTGAGAACACTAGCAAGCATGACAAAACAGCGACAATGATAATGCAACGATGATGATCATGATGATGATGATGCTCAGAATGATGATGAGGATGATGATGGTCATGATGATGGTGATGGTACAGCAGTGATGCCGCCGTGAGTCCGGGATGACAATCCCCATCACTGTCGTCATGTTCCAGCACTATCGTAAAATGCACTCACTCCTTGAGCTTTTCATCATCTTTTTTCCTTTGCATCATCACTAGCAGCAGCTGCGAGTTCTGCTTGAACCTCAGCTTCAACATGTCCAGCCGCGTCACCATCACATTCGCCCTGCTCGTCTTCATCGTCATCACCAGTAATTAATTACAATGGCATCGGCACTGTTATCCTACTCATAACTGTCGTTGTCAGTGAATGGGCATGCGCACCGGTAGCATTGCCTTGTCTCTACGAGGCTACATATTTCTCGTCATCATGACCAGCATCATTCCATACCACCAGCGTACTGCAATCGCCATTTTGACGAGTCGTGTCGTCCTTGCTGCTGCCGTCATATTCAGCAGTGTCGCAGACACTGCATTTTTGATCGGTTTGACTCTCGAGGTTTAATGTTTTGAGTTATGCACATTGTCTATAGACGGTCTCAGATGGTGCTTGTGTTAGACTCCGAGGGCTCACCAAGGATAGAATGGACGCTTGCGGCGACATTTCTCAAGGATCGCCATCGTTTCATGGCAGCTTTGATGTTGACCCCCATCACGATGGTCTTGTCGGTGGGTCTTCTCTACTATCCCTTCCGGATTTGTTTGGAACTCTCGGCTGACGGCGGCCTGCTTCTGCCGCTGGCGGCTGTGTCTCGTCAAAAGGACATGTGAAGACTAGCTATAAACGCATAAAGAAAGAACAGTTTTTATGTACATATTCTTTTCCAGATATTTATTCTATATTTATGTATTCACATGGTAATGTGCAGAATTATATATATATATATATGTGTATATGTTTTCATATATATATATATCTTTTGCTGTTTATGTATGCATGTGCCGTTGTGTTTATGTATATGTATCTAGTGCACCTAAAGGTGCAGGGACTGCATGCTGTTTCCTCTTTAGGTGCAGGGACTGCATGCTGTTTCCTAGGTCGTGGAAGAAGCTTATTCAAGGCTACAACAGTTGCACTTCGCGAGCGAGCAACAGTCTTTGATCTGATCAGGCATGCAACATCTGTGACGTTTTAGAATTCCGCTGAAGTGGGCAGTTGGCAAGTTCCCCAAGGTTGTGTTTGAGGCTCTTTTCATTGTGGCATTGAGCTACACGCGCCGATGCTGGGCCTGGACTTATGACCCTTCTCCATGGCAGGCGTAAGTTTCAGCTGTTGACAGCAGCTGTTGCAACTCTAGCATGGGGTGTGTTTTGGGGCAGCTTACACAGATTTCGCACTGCTGTGCTGGGTGAGTTGAAGCGCAACTGCATGCGACTTGTACTCACACTAGTATGTCTCTCCTTCAATGGAGGTCAATATCTCAGTCTTGCAAGCAGGCTCTCCCCAGACGAAGCCTCCGTGAAAGAGCCGGGTGCTTTTACTTTAGCTTTGGCCGCCCGCCACTATTGACAACCCCGCGCATCCTAAGCACTCGACGGTCAACACCCATAGCCTAGAACCCTGAACCCTGACACTGCAGGGTGTGCGTGAAAAAACCCTACACTGCACCGTACATACCTGAAACCTGAGACCTTAAGCGCATTTAAGCCCTAGGCAACTTACAGCTATCTACAGCCCTGAGCGCTGAGCCTCGACGATAAATCACAAGGATTGGCCACTGCTTCGTTCACCCGAACGGCACTGGAGAGCGCGCAGCAGCTTCGCAATTGGCAGACGTCCAAGCAAATCAGCCTCAGGTCATCCGAGTCCGGACAGGACCCAGGCTGTCTTTATAGGGTTGGCAGATGAGAGACTTTCGCATTTGGAAGACATATCACAGTTATGGGTACGTCGCTTTAAGTCGTCCTTCACGATCACTGTAGAAGTGTCTCAGTAAGGTTGAAGTCTTGTTGCCGTTTCCCTTCTGCATGTCGTCAATACAGAGAATTTTCGGCTTGTGCAAGGGTGCCATGTTCGCACTGAGGCATTTAGCATGAAGCATTGTCTGTACGTCAAGGATGTGCTCTGTTTGCAACAGTCTCAAAGCGGCCTACCTACTCCCTCTACGTTTGGATTTTCCTGTTCGGTTGGTGGCGTTTATTGCCAGCCATGGGCACTGGGTGTTCTGCTCATGAGCAGGAAGTGGTCGTGCTGGGGATCGCCGTCGCACTTTGTTGCTGCGGTTGTTGTCGTGCTTTCCGCTATGGTCATTGGTCGTCATTTGATCGTGTTGTGTTTTGTTTCGCTGTGGTAGTTCGGCCGAGCATGATATCCAGACCTCAGGTTACTCCGTGTTCAATTCTTGCCAAAAAGAGACATTGTCCGACAGGACTTTCCGGCAGGCATAGTGGACCGTGACGGGTTCTTCAGCATATGAGCGAATCGCGTGGCACATGCAGCTTACTTGTGAACTCTGGCTCTGCCCAGTGGTGCCGGGGACCGCATAAGTCTTTGTGCATGCCTTGTTGTATGCATGCATGTAAGCATGCATGGAAGTGTTTGTTTATGTGCATATGCACGCATGTATGTATATACGTCTGCAGATAAGAGTTTATCGCATGTTTATATGTGGATATGTTTTTCCTATGTAATTGTATAGGTACTTATATGTGAGCGTATGTACGTGCATGTGTGTATGTCAGTGTATGTAATTAATTTATGTATGTATGGGTGCGTTCACAATGCAAGTATGGGCATATGTTTCTGGAGTATATACATGCAGGTAGGCATATGTCTGCGTGTGGGGTGTGTATAAGCGCATGCACGCATGCGTACACGCAGGCGACAACACACGCACACACACACACACACCCACACACACACACACGCGCGTATACACATGTGTATATATATATATATATAATAATACACATGTGTATATATATATATATGTATATAAATATATAAATGTGTCGAGCAGCTACACACTTGTATACATTCTAGACTCTAGACATATGTACATACATGCCTACACGCATAGTTGAAGCATGTATCTTCATACACGAATGTACATGTACAAGTAACTTGTGCGTCAAAAGGACATTCAGATACAAACATACAAACTGACATACGCATACATTCGTACCTGCATACACACACATATACCAAAACACACACACACACACACACACACCAGCCTATACACAAGCGTACAAATTGTCAGTCTTTTCGTTCACATATATGCACAGACATACACGCGTATATTAGGCGTATATATGTGAACACATATGTGGGAATGCTTAACACACACATGTATATATAAGCACACAGGTATACAAACATATGTATACACGCACATATGTATTTATATCTACATATATACATGCACATGAATGTACACGAGTACATACATGTACATAGAGGCGTACATGCACATATGGGTTTATATAAATGTCTTTGAGCTTTACATATATATATATATATATATATATATGTACATGTATGCTGTGTATGTATGTTTGTATGTATGCATGCATGTTTACACACACACATGCATATATGTATATATGTACAAACAAGTTTGTATGCAAGTACATATGTGTTTTTATAGTTGCACATCTGTGTACAGATGCATGCATGATCACACACACAACATGCACATAGACATGCTCATGTACATATGCGCGCAATTTCATGCACAAGCTGTCGTATGTATGTATATATATATATATACGTGTATGCACAAGTCGTGCATATGTTTGTATGTACACATACCCTCATGCATATATGCATACAAGTGCACACATGTTTGCACACATCATGCGCCGGCACAGTGTCCGCATGCACAGACCCATCGGTGCGCATACACGCATACGCACGTCCAGACAGACAGCTCCCCTCCCCTCCCCTCTCCTCCGCTCCCTTCCATTCCTTTCTGTGTTCAAGTAGTTGAGATGACGAATAGTTCAGCAATGCAATGTGTGCCTGTACATATATTTGTCTGAAAATATGTACATTTGCATATGTGTGCATGTTTATCTTTATCTCTATATGTGTATTGAATACTTTGTAAGTATTTCCGTACTACACATGCATATACACATGCACACATGTACATTGCAGCAGAAAGCATCGTGTAATGCTGTGGCATAAATCCCTGAACCGGACCATGTGTGGGTGGGCTGTTCAGAAGGATGCCCACTTGCAGCCTTCGTTTTCCGGCGGATTGCCCTCGGCTAGCCTACTTGTAGCGGAAATCGAATCGGCGAGAAAGAGGGTATGGTACTGGCATGGCTCCACCAGAGTCGTGTTTCTCATGCAAGGCCCAAGTGGTCCTGCAAAGTATCCGACTTTGCTGGCAGCCAGAGGTCGGAAGCTCCAACCTCTGGCATCTGCAAACTGCAGGCCTTTGAACCCAGAGACTTCAATATCCCTTAATGAAGGAGTTATATAGCCTAAATCACACTAGGGATCCGAGTATAGTTTAAGGTATATTCCTTAATTAGGGGATATCGGAGTCTCTGGGAATGTGAAATGATTCTTCCGCTTCTCCCTTGTCAGAAATTCGGCAGGTCACGGCTGAGCCTGGGGCCGCTGATCAGTGTTTAAGACTCCACCTTGCACCCTCTTCTGACCTTTGGTTAGTAGGGAATGGAAGAATGGTCGTAATCGTAGTTATCATTGTACCCAATTCCTCCATTCTCTACTAACCAAAGGTAAGTCTTGTGCCTTCCCCTTCCCTTTGGTTAGTAGGGAATGGAGGAATGGGGTACAATGAAAACTACGATTACGACCATTCCCTACTAACCAAAGGTAAGTCCCATGCTTTCTTGCGATTTTGATGCAAAGCTGAAAAGACTATTGAAAGCATGCTCGTGTGCGACGGCACCACGAGGGGACGAATAGCCCGCGACGGTTTCTCACTCAAATGGCTTTTTGGACCAGCCGTTGCTTGTTGTTGAGTACGTAGTCTGGCCCTCTAGCTTTTCCCTGCTGGGATGACACACTCTGTCCGACATGATCCGGAATGGAACTGTAGAAAGCACGAGTAATGGCACGTAACATTGCTTGCGTGAGCTGCAGTCATCCTAGGTTGGTGCTTGGAATGCTGCGAGGTAGTATATAGCCTCCCGCAGCGATTGCATCGCTGTAAAGAAGGTCACACCCATGATTGTCTCGTTTGAGGACAGCAGCCGGCTCGTGAATCCGGTTCCTGCTGCATTTGCGAATGCAGTGTTTGGCCATGTACCTGTACAATGCAGTACAATGCAGCGAAACACCTACAGTCTGCTTCCCTAAAACTAAACCCCTAAAGAATGATCAAGAGTAGCATGCCGTGGTGAAGTCAAGATCGTTGTGCAGCCTTCAGTCGGCTCCAAAGTTCAGGCATCTACATGGGGTTTCCGAAAATAGGGGACCCTAAAACAGTACCCTAAATAGTAGGATCCTTATTGTAAGGACCCCAAAATAAGGTACCCCTATTTTCGGAAACTCCTGTATCGCGAACGTTTGGGACCTAACGCCACGAGCCTTGCAGATCGGGCCTCTCACTGCGTTTAGGACGTGATGCCAGGCGGCACGATGAAGGATGTCCGCAGCGGAACGAAACGAATCAACAACTGTGCCTGCAGAGAGTTGTGGGTACCACTTGTCTAGATCCCCAAATAGTTAACAGATGATCTCCTTTGGAATTGATAGGGCCTAGCGTGGGGCTTGTCGGGCTTAACATGAAGGAGGTTCGGTTTGGTTTCGGCTCGTCCCTGGTTGAAGGTTGCGGCTCGGTCCTTCGGAGTTCTTTGCCCGATTCGCGGACCCCGCGATAGGTACTGGTGCAAGACGTGTACCCTCGACCACCACCCAGGTGCTTGCGCCCATGAGGTCTGATTGAAGCGGCTGTGCATAGAGTCAGAACATGTGCGAACAGAACGGGTGGTGGCAAGCTTTCATCCGACAACGTCATGTTTGTTCTAGATGTTCACAGCTGGGAACTTAGTCATGCACCTATACGGGCGGCAGAAAACCGACGAACCTTGTACACACTTCACTTCGCACAGTGTGCACATGGGAGAAGAGCTGCCGCCTGATGACATCAAAGGCCAGATGGTGCAGGATGTGGCTTTCCCTTTCTGGGAGCTTGTGCGGGCCAGAAGCGGGGCGACTACATGCGAAGCCTTGACCTTCTTCAACACAAGCATTATTGCTTTCTCAATCTCTTCTTTAGCGGCATTAGCCTAGTCGTGCCAAGATGGCATTGCACCCTTCCACATTGACACGGAGAATTTCCCCTCGAAGCGCGCACAGAGGGCTCTGTGTTGCAGGCCCAAATGTCGATGCGCAAAACTTTTAGACCTGCAAAGTCAGATTTCGCCATAGGTGCCCCCATGTATCATGTGAGACTTAAAGCCAGGTTGGTAAGGCAGTAGCAGTAGCAGTGACAGCAGCAGTAGTAGTAGTAGTAGCAGTAGCAGAAGCAGAAGTAGAAGTAGAAGTAGAAGCAGATGTAGCAGTAGCAGTAGTCTTACTCGTAGTCGTAGTAGTAGTAGTAGTAGTAGTAGTAGTAGTAGTAGTAGTAGTAGTAGTAGTAGTAGTAGTAGTAGTAGTAGTAGTAGTAGTAGTAGTAGTAGTAGTAGTAGTAGTAGTAGTAGTAGTAGTAGTAGTAGTAGTAGTAGTAGTAGTAGTAGTAGTAGTAGTAGTAGTAGTAGTAGTAGTAGTAGTAGTAGTAGTAGTAGTAGTAGTAGTAGTAGTAGTAGTAGTAGTAGTAGTAGTAGTAGTAGTAGTAGTAGTAGTAGTAGTAGTAGTAGTAGTAGTAGTAGTAGTAGTAGTAGTAGTAGTAGTAGTAGTAGTAGTAGTAGTAGTAGTAGTAGTAGTAGTAGTAGTAGTAGTAGTAGTAGTAGTAGTAGTAGTAGTAGTAGTAGTAGTAGTAGTAGTAGTAGTAGTAGTAGTAGTAGTAGTAGTAGTAGTAGTAGTAGTAGTAGTAGAAGTAGTAGTAGTAGTAGTAGTAGTAGTAGTAGTAGCAGCAGTCGTAGTCGTAGTAATAGTAGTTGTCGTCGTCGCAGAAGTAGCGGTAGTAGTAATGTAGCTAGTAGTAGCAGCAGTAGTGCAGTAGCAGCAGCAGGAGTAGTTGCAGCAGCAGCAGCAGTCGTGGTAGTAGTAGTAGTAGTTGTTGTAGTAGGAGCAGGAGTAGTAGCAGTAGTAGAGTAGTGGTAGTGGTCGCAGTAGCAGCAGCAGCAGCAGCGGTAGCGGCAGCGGCAGCGGCAGCGGTAGCAGTAGCAGTAGCAGTAGCAGTAGCAGTAGCAGTTGGAGGAGAAGGAGAAGGCATAGGAGTAGCTGTTGCAGTTGCAGCTGCATTCCAACAGCTTCCGATGGTTGCCTTGCAAATCTTGCATTGGTACAGCATCAAGTCAGGACCGTTCCAAAGAGAGCTTGCGCAAAGCGGTTGAGGGTGGTTCTCGACGATCTCCCAGCAAGAATAATGCAGTCCAGACTCCCAGGACATGATCGGGATGATGGTGAGAACACGAGGATATATGCCGTAAACCTGGAATTACGCGTCTACCCGTCACTCCGTCTTCCCAATCTGGACAGAAGCTTCAAGGCTGTAGCACTGAAAGTATGCGCATTCACAATCGATTTCCCGTGACATCACAAATGTGCGAGAGCAGGTGTCTCCATTGCTGTCGCGCTGAGCGGTCTCGGGCAGCACTGGAGGCATCACTCAAATGCCAAGGGGGAGGCTGTGGCAACGGACACTGGCTTGCAGCTAGCTGTATATGTCTTGCATGGCCTACATGTGTGGAAAGCTTTGCAGCCTACACTCTGGACTCGCACAACGCTTTCCTGCTGTGCTGAATGTTGGGGCATAGCCGTGCATGTATTAACATTGCCCCTCTTATTGCCAAACCTGCAATTACTGCTAGTCCTGTTGCGGCATCCACGAAAGCTGTCACTCATTTCTGCTCCAAGCCCTGCAACCAACAAGACGCAGTAACCGCGACTACGACGAGTAGTAGTAGTAGCAGTAGTACTAGTAGCAGCAGTAGTAGTAGTAGTAGTAGTAGTAGTAGTAGTACTAGTAGCAGCAGTAGTAGTAGTAGCAGTAGTAGTAGTAGTAGTAGCAGCAGTAGTAGTAGTAGTAGTAGTGGTAGTGGTAGTGGTAGTGGTAGTGGTAGTGGTAGTGGTAGTGGTAGTGGTAGTGGTAGTAGTAGTAGTAGTAGTAGTAGTAGTAGTAGTAGTAGCAGGAATAGTAGCAGTAGCAGTCGTAGTAGTAGGAGTAGTAGTAGTAGTAGTAGTAGTAGTAGTAGTAGTAGCAGTAGCACTGGTAGCAATAGCAGGTGAAGGTGGTGGTGGCGGTGGTGGTAGCGCGGCTGGTATTGGTTGTGGTGGTGGTTGTGTTGTGTTGGCATTGGTTGTGGTGCACATGGTGCTGTTGCTGTTGCAGGTGATGGGTCGGGGGGGTGGGTTTCGTGCTGGTGCTGGTGGTGGTGGTGTCTTGTATTGTCGTGGTCGTTGTGGTTGTGGCTTTGGTTGTCGTTGATGGTTGTTGTGTGCTGTTCTTCTCGTCGTCGTCGGTATCGGCGTCGTTGTGACCGCCGTTGCATTCGTACTTGCACTTAATACGACGACGACTACTCCTACGGCCTACGGCTTCTTCTCCTCATCGCTACTGCTCGTGCTGCTCTTACGCTCACTCATTGCTTACTCGTACTCCTACTCGGAAGCAACCGCCATGGCTTGCTAATTGCGTAACCTGTACTTGCCGTAGTCATGAACTACTTGGAGGTTCATGGGTAGTTATATAAGTAGGGATATAAGTCCCCTAGAATGGGTTATGATAGTGGTTACCCTAATTATAACCCCACTTGTAGCTACCTGTGAACCTGCAAGTGTTGTTTGCACCAGTAGCTCAACCCTCACCCGGTCTCCAAGCTCCTGAGTCAGAGAAAAGGATTATTACGACAACTTCCTGAGCCATGATTGGAAGACCTCCGGATTGTTGAGCCTGGGCACAACTTTGGGTGTATAGGGTATACGGGGATACAGAGCTCTTGCTGGTAAGTGGTTGGGTCTTCAGTTTGAGGAGACAGGCTAGGTGGAGCTGCGAAGAGACGACATTGCAGACATTGACTTCACTGCACTTATCCGAGTGCATCAGCATTGGGCAATCTTGCCCGCAAGGAAATACTTGTCCCTTCTCATCCTCTTCAATGCGAAGGCCGCCGCGATTGCTTCGATCCTGATTTCTGTGTTGGTGGGCGTGCTTCGCATGACGGCTGTCCTTCCCAACCTTGTGTGGACGGAGCTTCCATGCTACGCATTCTTCTACTTCGTGCTGGCCACCGGGAAGCAAGAATGCAGGGCTGGAAGACTCACGAGTCCTGTCGCTGTGTTCAGAGTTTAGGTTTAGATTTTGGTTGTCGAGCCCTCGGCGCAAGAAAGGGAAGGTGTGCTCTGAGGTGTTCTGGCAGGAGCTTTTGGCATGGGTGCGTTTGCCGCGCATGGTCTTTCTGGACAAGCTGTGCATCCCACAAGATGACGAGGAGACTTCATGGAAGTGTCGAGGTTCAGGGTTGTTAACGATTCCGTCAGTCAGTCAACCAATCAATCAGTTAGTCAGCCAGTCAAACAACCAATCAGTCAAACAAGATATTCACATACATATATGTACACAGACCTGTATACACACGTTCATGTGTACATGTATATATATATATACATATGTCTGTGTAGTTGCTTGTCGTGCATTTGTTTAACTAATTGTGTATAGACATAAATGTTTCTACACACATACAGATCAACCCACAAAATGGATGCAATCGTTCAGGGTTCCATACGTACATACAGAGAGACATGCAGGCAGACAGAGACAGACAGACAGACATACACATAGTGCGCACTCTACGTGCACGTCTGCTCATATAGGGTTGCGTGGCTGTATTTGCGGTGCACGCCAGCATCGGTAGATTCATATAGAGACGCGGTTGTTGCATGGATACATTGTTATTTACACATGAGTTTTGTCTTCGTACACCAAGATTTTCGCACACCAAAGCCAGTGTTTGTATCCAGAAGCCGACTCCTAATTCCTTGTACAAATAGTTTATAAGAGCCCACTATAAAACCCATCATGAAGGCTTTGCCTATACCGGACCAGTTGCTTGTCATTCACGACATGTCCGCCGGACGATCACAACATCAGGCAGCATCCAACTTGTGCTGTTGGGTTGTTTTGTTGTGTCGTCGGTTGGTAGTGATACTCGTAGTCGCTTGGGCAATATTCCAAGCTGTCACGTTCCTTTACAACCAGCTCCTTTCTAAATTTTCTGGTTAGCTATTCACTACTATGACTGACCGAAGCAAGCTGAGTTAGCATTCGTGGTGCAGGAGAAGAAGGCTCAATGCATTCGTGGCCTTGCTTGCTATCTCGATTGTGCGCAGACCCTGACGGTGTTGTGGTCGGATCGCTATTTCAGCAGGCTGTGGTGACTGAGCTATCCAAATCAGAGCTTTTTCGCCATGTGGGTGGTTGTCAAAATTATCGTCCCTTTTTAGGTACCCTAAATATTAGGTGCCGTGTTATACCCCAAAACAGACCCTAATTTCGACAACCACCCAGGTGAGTTTCGAGGGGTATTATTTGGGCTTGGAGCCAGGGGTCGTCCGATTTTTGGCGTGCGATACAGAGGCAGCGAAGATAGTGTCGCCTCCATAGCCATAGTACTCCATAATAGTTGATTAATATTTGTAATGTAGTCCTATTATGGACTATTACTGTATGGGGGCAGTACCTAATCCATAAGTCGTCCAACGTGCATCGCCAGACCCGGATGTCCTCACGACAGATTTCGAAATTGAGTTATAGCTGCCATGAGCTACGTACATGGCCGTATCGGAACGTCTGATTGTTAGATCACAGGGTTGGAGACCCCATAGCCCTTTTCAGACAGATGTTAACCTTGCAGAGAACCCTCAGCCCGAACGTGTGTTTTGACAGCGTGGCCTTTCCAGAAGATGAGGTGCGTTTTCGAAATAGCTACGTTTCTTCGACACCAGAGCAAGCCGTCCATCCAGTTTCTTCCTGTGGAGCTGTCTCTGCTCGTCTTTCTGGGCGCGCTCGCTTACGCCGTTACTCATTTGATCCATGAACTCCTCGCGGATTTGAATTTCCAAAGCCAAAACGATGAAGTGGGAGATGAAGGGCTGCGGCGGCTTGCCGGGCTTTCGGGCTTGATGATGACGCTCTTCTATATCACCGTTACCGGCTACAATTTTCTTGGCCTGCGGCTCATGAACAAGTTTCGTCTCCTTCCTAAGCAGCTTCATAGGTTCGACGCTCGAAAAGCCGAGTGCTTCTGCTGCTCAGTGCCTAGATCTGCTTTTAAAGCTTGGATTTAGTGCTCGCAGATTTGCCACGATATTCTGACGTGGGTTCTGTTTCCTGGTGTTGAGAAGTTTACAGTATATACTACAGGGGCCTAGATATTGCCCAATACTCTTTTGGGGGTTCCTGATTATCATTATCGCATAGTTTACCCAAAACCCTATTCTAATCTGTCAGGCCCCCGTACTAAGCCCTTGTAATAGTAACCCTTGAAGCCTTGATAAGAGCCCTTTACAGGAACTCTATTCTCATTATTAAGGCCCTTATATTAGTACGTAGGCTTCTGTGGCAGATTGGTCAGGGCCGGCCTCCCCCACTTTCTCTCGCTTTTCTTGATGCTCGAAGCTGTCTGCGCACTGCTACAGTACTCCATGAAGAAATGGGAGCTTCCGAAAATTAGGGGTAACGTATTTGGGGGTCCTTGTGATAAGGATCCTACTCTTTAGGGCACCATATTAGGCTCCCCTATTTTCAGAAACTCCCAAATCACCAATAAAGGCTTTAGCTGGATTTCTGCCTGAGTGAACCTGACAATCTTGAGTATGTCACCAGCGTCGCCCCGGACGGGGCTTGGACTCAACACAGATTGCTGTCATTAAACTAGTCGTGTTTAAACTTGCAATATGTCATCCGACATCTTACTTGTGAGTATTTCTTGGCTCCGACAGATGCTAGTCCTTACACGTAGGCAGGACCCGATGCCCAGTGTAGCCGTACCCAGCCTACCAACTGGTCTTGCTTCATGTGAAACCGGGTCCTCAAGTACCAGACTGTATTTGTGTTTGGACTTGTTCCTCAACAGAACCACTCTGGAATGAAAGGTTCGATTTTGTGTCCCTGGCTAGTTCAAAGCCCAGGACAAGCTTGCTTCACCCGACCTAAACTCCAGATTTCCGGGGCACCTCTCAGGTAGGACACCTGGAGCCTCGCACCGGGGCTCCAATCCCATGTGACAGAAAGCTGATCATGGCAAAGATTGAGCGGTGGTATGCTGTTTCCAGAGACGCAGATGCAACGGACGTGGATCCCGACGACTGTATAACAGAATTCAACAACCTGGTGCGTAAGGAGCTTGCTGACACGTTCCTTGCCACGACGGCTTCTGGCAACGCAATGTTCTGGAAGTATATCTACCTCATAGCTGGTATGCGACTTGAGCAGGCATCAGCAAACTTGAAGCCATCCTTCGTCTTCAACGTTCTGAGGGCATGCTTTTGAGTGCACGGTAGGGTGGCAGAATCATAGCCCCAGGCTAGGATCCAAATTCAGCTCCGGAACAATCCGAAGATTCCGGTGCAATCTCGTGAATCTTGCCTCATATGCGACACGCCCCACCCGAAAATAACAGCAAGGAACATGCCGATTACAGCCTGGGCATTGGGCAACATGTCCGCCGAATTGCTGCCCAGTCCTCTCGAAGGCTCTCGAAGGGCATTAAGGGCTTTGCGGGTTTAGGGTTTATGGACTGCGTGATGTGATCATGTTCTGTGCTAGAAGCGCGTCATAGTCTTGAGTCTTGAGGGAGGGATTAGCATTGGCAGGAAGGGCGACTGCTGTACAAACCCTACCCGATTCCTGGCCCGCTGCTGCCAAGCAAGGGCCGTGCTACTGCGAAAAGCAATATATTCAATATACAAACCGCCTTGCCATATATTGGAGTTTCCGAAAATTAGGGCTACCTTATTTTGGGGTCCTTATAATAAGGATCCTACGATTCAGGGTACTATATTAGGGTCCCCTATATTCGGAAACCCCCATATCATCGGGAGGGCGCTCCCAATGGGTTCTCGAATATCAGCTGCACCCAGTACGACAGCTCGGGTCTGTAGTGGTCTTATTGACTCTGGAGGGAGAGACAGCTTGACATATTTTCTCTGCGGCGCGTTGCTTCGTGAGCCAGTCTGATGTAGGTTAGATTGCACGATGAGTGGAGTTATAGCTTCGTTCGACCGAATTTGCCAATTAAGTGAGATGCTGGAGTAATTATCTCATCAGAGGTACTTTAAGTTAACTAGGTGCACTGTCTCCCGAGACTGTTCTGACGATTGTTTGAGGTGTTATGGGTCCTTCTCAAAAATGTGTGGCGTTCCTTAGTTCATAAAGGGGTACCTTAGACTAGAGTCTATGTGTATGTGGTCCATGTGGTGTTGTGAGTTGTTGCGAGTGTTTCAAGCCTGGAGTCAGAGATTTAGTTCGGGAGGGGAATCGAAAGGATCCTGATCAGATGACGCTTCCCCACCTAGTGATCTAGTGGAGTTTCACACAGCAGACCTCCAACCACATGCCTCGCCTGGATCGTCCGAGTGTGAGCGCGAAACCCTAAACTCTAAAACTAAAACCCGGCTCTTTGATGCTTGGATCAGGAAGTGCACTCCTGGCCTGGTGGGCCAGCGGCTGGGTTCTGGAGCATGTTGTTAGGAATAAGAAAAGCACATGCATACATATATACAGATATGCTACAGATATACTTATATACATACGTACATACATACATAATTATACATGCACACGGGCACAAGCAAGTATGCATGTATGTTTTTTAGTTGTCAAGTTTTGGTTCCGTATACGAAGAGTTATGGAGTATACAAGTTTGTAGTCTTGTTGCTGCTTGGTTGCGTCAGCGGCCAGGATGGGTAATCAGACTTTTCCACAACATGCTGCAGATCGTGGGGTGTGTGGAGATTCTCATGACGCCGGGCACTTGAGAGTTGTTGTGATTTAGAATTTGGAGTTTGGGCTCTAGTCAAGGGCTTATGTATGTTCCTCCGCCGCTACTGCCTTCCCAGGGGAAGTCCAAAAGAGTCCGAAAAAGATTCTGAGCGCCTCGATTGGCACAGCCCTTGAACAAGTATCACAGCCTGGATCGGATAGCGGTCGTATCACTCAGTGATACCAACAGGGCGGGAGAACTTAACAGAAAATAGAACATACAAAGTACGAGACAACCCGCTGAAAACCAAGCTAGTTAGTGTGACTAGTGTTGCTGATCCTCTAGGGACGACAGCAGTAATGATACAGTGCTGGGTTTAGGGTTTATTGGTTTGTAGGGGTGCCGCTACTGACTGTTATCATTACAGGTCTTTGTTTGACCAAGCCCTAAACCCGTCCGTGTGTAAGTGACAAAAGACCTCGTGCCTTCCTACGGTAGGAATCCATGGCCAGCCAGCTGGCAGTGCTTGCCGAGGATAGCATGGGCTGCGGGTGCCGTTTGGCTTCGGGATCGAAATCTTGCCGTGGCCTCTCTAATACTCTCTACACCGATTACGATCATCTCCTTTGGCATATTCTTCATACCATTCCGGGTTTGCTTGCTTTTGACAGCCGATGACAGCTTGGTGATATTGGCACCAGCATCTTGGCAAGAGCTAGAGATTGAGATGAGGTAGCTTAGGGGCCTTAATAGTTACCTATACTATTTTGGTGGCTCCTTAGTATAATTAAGTATAATTATGGCCGAATATACCCCAAAACCCTATCCTAACTATTAAGGCCCCTAAATGCAACCGAATTTAGGCCGAGAGGTGGGCAGACATCCCCTGCACCTTCCAACCTTGGATCGCCCTGCAGATCCTAAATCAATTACAACGCGTTCAGTTTAGGGTTTAGGGGGCATTTCTTCTAAGAGTCGAATTGGTGAAAATGTTATTCTTCCTCTTCCAATGAAGCTGGCATGAATCTTAATTAAGCGCCACACCAGTGCGCAAAGAGAAGGTCCTGAGCCATGTCGCCGTAGTCGCTTCACACCAGAATCTGCAGGGCCGCGAGAAAACGTGAGTCTAAACCGAAGGAATTGATTTGGATGGTTCCTCACATTGGAGCAGGCCCTGGATAATTACCTGTACACATAATACGTTTGAATCGACGTTGCCTGCATTGCTGGCTGCAGGTACTGCTGGAGTTGTTCTTCGTTGTGGCTTGCAGCCGTGCCCGCGGATTCGCGGCTAGTGCACGGCAATTTTTCTTGCGGCAAATAAATGGAACATGTACATTTGGTGCTTGTTTGTATGTGGCCTAAACCCCTTGAGGCAATAAAAGGCTAAGGCAGATCCGGGCTCCCTCTCCATCGCTCACTCCCATTTGGGAGTTTCCGAAATTAGGGGACCCCTAAGAAAGTATCCTAAATAGTAGGATCCTTATTATGAGGACCCCAAAATACGGTACCCCCCAAATTTTCGGAAACTCCCATTTGGGGTTTGGGGGGATGTTCGGGCTCGAGGGTTTAGGGTTTAGGGTTTAGGGGTTTAGGGTTTAGGGTTTAGGGGTTTAGGGTTTAGGGGTTTAGGGTTTAAGGTTCGTTCCCACTTTCTGTGGGCTTCGTGCTCAAAAACCGACTATCCAGACCCAGTGTGTTTTGTAAGCTTTGGCCCCAGGCTAAGCGGCTACACCTGGGGAAGCACAGAGTTCTTAGTTCCGATAGGAATCCCGATCAGGGCTATTATGCCCCAGCTTGGAAGGAGGGGTAAATACACATCATCAACGGCTTGTGCTGTTACTGAAAGGATCATGGGACTTAGTAAGTAGGTTATGATTGGGGTTATAAGTCCCCGAAGTGGTTGTATCCTAACCTACTTTAAGTACTTGTGCACAGGCCTCCACCGTGCCGCTCCTGTCATTTATTCCTTTTGATTCGAACCTCATGTCTAACCGAAAAGGAGCGTCTAAAAAAGAAGAACCTCATGTCTAGGAGGTTGGCCCCTGCTTGTCAGCTGAACACAGGACTCCAATGTAGATCTGGGCCACTAGCATACCAAAATTGCACGTTTTGCGTGAAGAAGAACAGGACTCCTCAGCACGTCGCTATCTCAGACGGCGGCGGAAAGTATGAAGCAGCTCAGCATCCGCAGTGTCGACAGCGTCCACTCCGAGAACTTGAAACAGGACCTCCTGATGTTGGTTGTCCTAAGTTCTGGCGTTTCTTCGGGAAAGAGCCTGGTATAGTCAAACCCCACTGGGCCATAGTATAACCCAACGCCTGGATTGAAAGCGTTCTTTGCTTGCCAACGAACACGCATTTGTCTCTGCACGCTGCTGACTGTTTGCATGTTGCAAATATATCACGCATAGCTACTAGTGATTCACACCGGGTGTGCGACCTTGCTGGCAGATGTCTCTGGAGCAGAACGAATCATTTGGTGATGTTGAGTTCCCACTTCCTAGAATCCTGAACCCAGAATCAACGATTCGCGTTGCGTACCATCCTCCACTACACCCTGAAGCCCCGAGCTACCTTTCCCTGGTTCAGAAAAGCACTGAAGACGAGACACAGTCCATCGGCGACTTCTTCAGCATCTGAGGGGGACAAAAGCAGCCTCAAGGTGATGATAAGAAAAGATAAGCAGACTTGGGCCCACCTTCGTGGTTCTGCTGATGATCGCCCAGCTTTCTTGCTAAAGCCTTCATGTCCGATCCAAGTCGTCATACAAGCTACTCCGAAAGGTGGGAGTCGAAGCCGTAGCCCAGAGGAAATCTAGGCCGGGAAGCCCAGAATGGGTGCCTGCACGAACTCATGTGCCTGTGAAATTTTCAACATGTAAGGAGAAGGCTGACTCCTTCGGCGTTGATTTCACTTTCACTCAAGCTTGTGTCAGGTTGAAGATTTTGCTTGCCAATGTCTTGCATCTAACTTTCCAACTGCATCGAAGGCACTCTATAGTCCACTACACTTCACGGGATGGTAATCAACAAGTGCTGTCGAGTTGTGTGTGGTGGTAGTAGTAGTAGTAGTAGTAGTAGTAGTAGTAGTAGTAGTAGTAGTAGTAGTAGTAGTAGTAGTAGTAGTAGTAGTAGTAGGAGTAGTAGTAGTAGTAGTAGTAGTAGTAGTAGTAGTAGTAGTAGTAGTAGTAGTAGTAGTAGTATTAGTAGTAGTAGTAGTAGTAGTAGTAGTAGTAGTAGTAGTAGTAGTAGTAGTAGTAGTAGTAGCAGGAGCAGGAGCAGGAGCAGGAGCAGGGGCAGGAGTCGGCGTTGGAGTCGGAGTGGCAGGGGAAGGACAGGGTAGGGGTACGGGGAGTGGCAGGGGCAGGGGCTAGGGGAAGGAGAGGTAGGGGTGGAGGAGGAGTTAGTAGCAGAAAGAGTTGGAGTTGGAGGACGAGCAGGAGGCGGAGCGGGAGTAGGAGAAGGAGTCGGAGTAGGAGCAGGAGTAGGACGAGTAGGGGGAGCATTAATGAGTCGTCGTTGTGGTAGTAGTAGTTGTTGTTCTTGTTGTTGTTGTTGTTGCTGCTGTTGCCGTTGTTGCTGTTGTTGCTGCTGTCGTTGTTGTTGTTGTTGGTGCGGGTGCTGGTGCTGCAGCTGCTGCTGCTGCTGGTGGTGGTGGTGCTGCTGCTGCACTGCTACTGCTGGTGCTGGTACTGCCGCTGCTGATGCTGCCGGTGCTGCTGGTGCTGCTGGTGCCGGTGGGGCTGGTGGGGCTGGTGCTGGTGGTGCAGGTGCTTTGGCGCTGATGTTGCCGTTGTTGTTGCCAGAGTTGCTGCTGTTGTTGTGGCGGTGGTGGTGATGATACTTACGGTGCAGCTGTTGTAGCCCTGCTTGGCAGCGTCCGCTGTCTGTTAGCCGTAACAGTTGTTAAGCCGCGCTCTGTCAAAGAGAGAGAACTCCCTCACTTGAGCTGCACACGGACTTTCGACCGAAGTGTTTTAGGAACACCATGACATAGTCATGTTTGCCTTCGCCTCTGCTGCAACACAGCTTGTGGCTTTCAAACAATTCTCAAAATGCGTTGTATTTAACTGCACGGGCAGGGTGCAAACCCAAAATCCGAGGAGTCTTGGCGACAGTTCTATAGTATCGGTGCATGTCATGCCCTCGAAGATGTTTCTTTCAGCCACTTGAAATGCTTTGCCAAAAGCTTCGGGTTTCCACCCCAAAACATGCCAAGACCTGCAGAGCCGCGTCTCAAGGGTGCTGTCGCGCATTCTGTAGCCTGCTTAGAAGACCCTGAGCAAGGTCCCAGTTCCTACATGGAGTGAGTGGAGTACGTAATACTATATAATCGTTGTATCAGTGGAGCAAATAGCAGTCGTAAAGTAATTTGTCGTCGTCGTAGTAGTGGCAGCAGGAGAAGGAAGAGTAGTAGGGTAGAAGTAGTGGTAGTAGTGGTAGCAGTAGGAAGTAGTTAGGAGTCGTCGACCTAGTAGTAGGAGGAGGAAAAGGAGGAGGAGGAGGAGGAGGAGGAGGAGGAGGAGGAGGAGTAAGCCCTTCCCCCTAATATTAAACGCCCCTCCCCCCCCTATATAAACCTGATAGGGGCCACGAGCCCGAATGCAGACACGCGTAACGCATATATCGCTTCTGTGGAGTTCCCCATTAGAATCATTAGAGGTTACCCCTTAGCTTGACGGATTCAGAACGCCGTCGGGACGCGCGTTCTGTGGAGTTCCCCATTAACAGCGCGAGCGTCCTGTGGAGTTCCCCCTTAGCTTGACGGATTCAAAACGCCGTCGGGACGCTGCCGGAACACGGCTCCTGTGGAGTGACACGCGCGTGGAACACGCCTCCTGTGGAGTTCCCCCTTATAGCTTGACGGATTCAGAGCGACACCTCTGGGGTTCCCCCTTAATTAGCTTCACAGATTCAGAACGCGCGCGAGACCTACGCCGTCGGGACGCGCGTTCTGTGGAGTTCCCCATTAACAGCGGAACACGCCTCCTGTGGAGTTCCCCCTTAGCTTGACGGATTCAGAACGCCGCCGGAACACGCCTCCTGTGGAGTTCCCCCCTTAGCTTGACGGATTCAAAACGCGCGCGACTCGCGCGTTCTGCGGAGTTCCCCCTTAACAGCGCGAACGTCCTCCGGGGTTACCCCTTAGCGCTTGACGGATTCAGAACGCCGTCGGGATGCTGCCGGAACACGCCTCCTGTGGAGTTCCTCCTTAGCTTGACGGATTCAGAACGCCGTCGGGACGCGAAGCCGGGACGCTGCCGGAACACGCCTCCTGTGGAGTTCCCCCTTTGACGGATTCAGAACGCCGTCGTGATGCGCGTTCGACGCTGCCGGAACACGCCTCCTGTGGAGTTCCTCCTTATTAGCTTGACGGATTCAGAACGCACGGAACACTCCTCCTGTGGAGTTCCACCTTAGCTTGACGGATTCAGAACGCCGTCGGGACGCGCCGCCGGGACGCTGCCGGAACACGCTTCCTCTTTAGCTTGACGGATTCAGAACGCCGTCGGGACGCGCCGCCGGACGCTGCCGGAACACGCCTCCTGTGGAGTTCCCCTTTAGCTTGACGGATTCAGAACGCCGTCGGGATGCCGCCGGGATGCTGCCGGAACACGCCTCCTGTGGAGTTCCTCCTTAGCTTGACGGATTCAGAACGCCGTCGGGACGCGCGTTCGACGCTGCCGGAACACGCCTCTTGTGGAGTTCCCCCTTAGCTTGACGGCACGGAACGCCTCCTGTGGAGTTCCCCCTTATAGCTTAACAATTGACGGATTCAGAACGCAGGCGGGACGCGCGTTCTGTGGAGTTTCCCCTTAACAGCGCTGCGCGACACGCCTCGCGTCACACGCGGGCGCTTCGCGAACGCTTGCGGACGCTTCGCGAACGCTTTAACCACCTGCTGGACCCCTGGACCCCAACCTTTTAAACGGGAACCCTTCTGCAGAGCATTCGGGAAAACTGGATTTCGGAGGTTTAGTTTTTATATTAGAGGGGGTTTCGGTTCGGTGCATCCACGTACAGGCAGACAAGTCAACAGCGAGCAATTCCTGCGCAGCCGTTCCGGCTGTAGACCGACCAGACAGTCAGCCTGCCTCTGAGCCCTAAAGCTTTAGCCCTGAGCCCTAAACCCTTAAACCCTAAAGCTCTGGTGTCGTTAGTACTGGTGTAATTAATCTTTGGCTCTATAAAGCCCTGAGCCCTAAGCTTTAAGCCCTAAAGCCCCAAGCCCTAAAGCATCCTAAAGCTTTAGCCCTGAGCCCTAAACCCTTAAACCCTAAAGTTCTGCTGTCTTTAGTAGTACTACTGTAGTCTTCGTTCAATTAAAACACATACAGATCTGCCACCCCCCCTAATGTTGTCCCTTTTAAACTGAATGTGGGGCCCGAATCCGCGAAATTTTCCGGCGGCCGGGAGTTTTTATATTCGGGGGGGGTTGAATGTTCGGGGGAAGCGATTAGTGTAGTTGTAGTCGTCGTCGTAGGAGCATCACTAGTAGTCGAAGTAGCATGAAGCTTAGCAAAAGTGTAGTAGCCGCTGTCGTCGTCGTAGCCGTGGGAGCAACCGCAGCAGAAGTATGCAGAAGTACTAATTGGCAGTATCTCAGATCTGGTTTCAATCTTTCCCGGGTTGGTGGTTTAGCACTCTGAGGCGCTGGGCCTATGCTAAGCCTTCTTCACAGTTTGCCATGGGGCGCGGCAATGCATTATTTCCAATATGAGCAGTGGTTTGACGATGATGCCCGTCACTTCGATTTTGATTTTGGCTGTGATGACATGTCTTGCTTTTCTTCACCTCGTCAGTCAGAGGCCCTCGAATCTATGGACTGGAGGCCTAAAGGGAATCCCAGTTCCAGTGCGAGAAACCGCAGTGCGACATCCTTCAGCCGGTCCGAAGTGGGATCGCGGCACTTGCGTGCACATCCGTCGAGTCGAGTCCGTCTGACTGCTGCGAAGTGATTCGCGTTCGGAAAAGAGGCATCCTTTCGCGAGGGATCTGGTTGACCTGCAGGTTGAGGTCCATACCTGGCAACTGCTGATTCATCCTGCTGCAAGCGTATCCCGTGCTGGTAAACGCCTCGAAGCAACACTACCAGCACTACTATAGGGGCCTAAATAATTACCAATATTGTTTTGGGCCTTGGGAGTTACTTGTGAGAAGTGTGATAAAATGGGCACCAACACCCTATTCTACTTATCAAGGCCCCTTTCCCAAAGGCTCCATGTACCTTTATAGTAGATTCGTAGATACTTAAGCCTTGAAGGGGTCCCTATATAGGTACTTTCAGGCCTAAGTATATACTATATGGGCACATGGAGCCTCAGGGTTTATTACCAAAACGAACACAACATCAACGATCACATGGGGCAAGACAGCTTCTGCATATGGCTGGCAGGGAATTTCCGGCATAGATGCGGGAACATCTCTCCACTCGTGGAGCAGCATGAACTGAGGGGTATTTCAAAAACACGCAGTTGGATACTTTTGAACGGGTGATTCATCGACAAGTAGGTCTTTCAAGTAGGTGGATAGCCCTTGTGGACGGATGCATCATGCCAGACATCAAGAAACCGCCGTAGGGACAGAGGTATCCTTCTGCATCTCCGTTTACCCAGCCATGTCTCCACGTGACGCTCGGAAGAACTTCGTGCAGGCCTTGGCAACAGTACGGGCCCCCAGCAGATTGAGCTTCGCAGTGAGGGTGATGGATTGAAGATTACGGCTGTTTGGCTTGAGGGGGCGGGTTCCCGGTGTTGGAGATTTGGGGTATGCAAGGATTACCTCGGAGCTTCTAAGCCTGAAGCCCTGACCCCTTAGCTGTGCATAGTTTTCAGGGTTTAGGCTTTAGGTGTGAAGTCACAACTTGTCCGATGCTGGAAAAAGAGCCAGGTCTTTTGTTGTCGTACGCTGGTTGTTTACACAATCTACACTGGCATCCTGATTCAGGGCCGGGCTACTGTCAGAGTTGCTAACCTGCTGGAGGGTATGGATCTGCTTTTCTGTTCGGCCAGCCGCTCTATTGTCGGGATATGGGAGTTTCCGAAAATTAGGGGTGCCTTGTTTTGGGGCCCCTATAATAAGGGTCCTACTATTTAGGGTCCTTTCTTAGAGTCCCCTATTTTCGGATACTCCCATATGTGGGCCTCACACTTCGTCATTTTCTGACGTGGCTAAGAGAGTCTGCGAGGTATGTTACTGGATTCCGGGGAATCTGTCCTTCGACCCATTGAGCACGCAGCCTAGAGTAGGCTTTAGGGTTCAGGTTCCCTTATAGCCCCCTGCAACCCAAAAACGGCACCCTTTCTATCCCTAGGTTACTCGAAGTCTAGGTTATGTTCGCTTGCCCGGTGAGTCGGGCAGGAAGATAAGGTTTTGGCCGTACCTCTGCCTGAAACCTTTAGGGTCGAGGGGTGAAGGGTTTAAGGTTTACCTTGAATAACCTACCTTTTTAAGGACCTATATAAGGAAATCATACTAAGGAACCCTGAAAAGGTAGGTTCTTGGTGGTTACGGTAGGGTTTAGGGACTTCTGTTCGAGTTTGCGTGCTAAACTTGGGATAGAACCATGTTCGAATCTTACGAAAGTAAACCCAAAATCATCCAGACAACTATCCCGAGTCCAAACACACCCTACTACGTATATTCTATGTATAATATGCTATGCCATGTGTATATATACATATATATATATATAACGTTATGTTAGACCAGGTAGCAGACAAGCACGGCTTCGAGTTTTCCTCGCAGTCGCACGACTGGATCCTTCAGATCCGAAACAAGGCCAGCCGGTTTCATTGGGCTTTCCTACGAGGTATTCAGGTTTAGGGTATTTGGGTCTGGTTAGACCTGATCCCAGCAGCAAAAGGGTGTTCGGTGTTCGTTCCATGATGGCCTATTGCAACTGCAAAGCAACTTCTCTTCCAGACTGCAGCTGTAAGCGGGAGGAACTCATGCACGGTTAACGAATCAGTTCCATAGATATGTGCTTGCATGCGTTCATGCAACATGCATACATACGTTTACCCGGTAGATTTTCCTCGACGGTGGCACCAGTATAGATGTTAGCGTTCTAGACGCGACCGGAAGTGGGCCAAGCACAAATCGAGTTCCTTATCTTCGTGGTTGCACAAGACGACGACGACGACTGCTACTACTACTACTACTACTACTACTACTACTACTACTACTACTACTACTACTACTACTACTACTACTACTGTAGAACAGTGGGACTATTCCGGAACTTGCCTGTTTCAGAGTTGACAGATTTGGCTCCGGGGCCCTTAAAGGTCTGGGAGTCGAGACTCGTGTGCTCAGAGCCACGACTCACAGTCAGCTATCTTACCTTTGGTTAGTAGGGAATGAAGTAGTTATATTTGTACCCCATTCCTCCGTTCCCTACTAACCCCAGGTAAGCTATGCATGCGAGCTTTTTGATGGGTTTCCAGGAAAGCTAGCAGCACCAGGCCGAAGCTGTGTGTTTCAGCACAGTACTTAATGGCTCATGGGGCTTAGTAAGTAAGGTTGTAAGTAGATTATAGTTAGGATAACCCCGCTTAGGGGACTTATAACCCCAACTATGGCCTACTTACTAAGTCCCATGATCCTTTAAGTAGGGCATCGGTCTAGAAACCAGCAAGTATTGTTGACCTTATCCCAGACAATCGGGGTGAGGTTGGGGGGGTGGGATTGATTTCTTTATAGCAAACTGGTACTTGTCTTTGTCGGCACGGCGGAGGGAATCACACAGGGAGAGGGGACGAGGGGGGATAGAACAATTACTGAGTATTCCACTGCGTAGATCTGTGTTGTGCAGGGTGTTTGAGCAGAGGCTTGTGTGTGTCATGTGAGGGCCCCTTTAATAGGCCCCCCCCCCTGACCAAAAGTTTTGCTTTGAATAACGTGATGTCCGTGACCCCCCCCCCCCCGGCCCCCCGCCCAGACCGAAAGATTCAGATGGGTGGCTTTGATTAGGTTCGAAGGGAATTGGTTTGGGCGCTGACCCTTAATAAGCAAGTAAGCCTCAGGTAAATCCCACCTAGAACCCGAGCCTGAGCCCTCCCCAGAAAGCTTAGGAAGTAAGGTCGAGGGTTTTGGGTTGAGGGGAGTAGGGTGGGTTTCGGGTTTAGGGAGAATTCTGGGCTTCAGGGCTAGGGTTTTAGGGTTTGGACGGGGGTTTAAGTTCAGGAGGGGTCGGCTTAAGTAGGGTGGGTTTTCGAGTTTAGGGAGAGTTTCGGACTTGGAGTCGGGGTTTGGACCATCAGCAGACAGGAGCAAACCCACCAAAAACAATCCCCCAGACAAAAGGAACACGCATTAACTTGGCCGCCTTTTTTGGTCTGGCTCGAATAAGCAAAGAATGCATTAATTACTACCAATTTATTAAAAGGGCCTCTCACACTACGTGTACCCTAAACCCTAGTCTTGGCTGTGCGACTTAGTGGGTTCCAGTACTCCTTTGAAAATTGCATGCTGACCTGTGCCAGCTCGCGTCTCGCAGCGACTTTATTCAGAATCAATCCGTGCCCGTTGTTTGGTGCAGGCGCCGTCATATCTGAGTCATCTAGCTAACATTGAAACGTGGTACTTGCTCTCTCTCTCTCTCTCTCTCTGTCTGTCTGTCTGTCTGTCTGTCTGTCTGTCTGTCTGTCTGTCTGTCTATGTATCTCTCTCTCTCTCTCTTTCTCTCTCTTTCTCTCTCTTTCTCTCTCTTTTCTCTCTCTTCTCTCTCTCTCTCTCTCTCTCTCTCTCTCTCTCTCTCTCTCTCTCTCTCTCTCTCTCTCTCTCTCTCTCTCTCTCTCTCTCTCTCTCTTTCCCTATACATATATATATATATACGTATGTTTATATGTGTATATATATATATATGTATATACATATACATATACATATACATATACATATACATACAGGACTACACGAGTTACACTGGGGCTTGCGTGGCGGTTTTTCTTTCAAGGGAAATACCCAATTCTCGCTCTCTGAGCCAAGAGCTGAAGTCCCTTGCCTTCGGCTTGCCACTCAAGTGAGGTCTGCCTGGTTTTGGGCGAAAGATATGTTCAGGATTTGGCTTGAAGGATTCGTTTCTCACGTAATAAAGGGGTCTAAATAAATATCAATACTGTCTTGGGGGCTCCTTATCATAATTACAGCATAAGGGGCCCCAAGACCCTATTCTAATTCTTAAGGCCACTATATTAGTTTTGGCATTGATCGCCCAAAGTGTCCCACACTAGCCAGGCCACGGGCAAGCAGTGCTCGGTGTTTGGCTACACGTTCGACGTGAATCCAGCACTCACCTCGGTGTGGTTGCCTTGAGTTGCTTATTTATTCGGGTTGAGTTCTCTCAATCAGAAGCCTTATGCGGGTCCAGTTATATAGTCCAACTTCCGGTGGGTCCCCATCGTGAAACTACTTCACTTGGGCCCACGTTACAACACCCATTCGGCTTGAGGTGCAAAGTCGAGCAGAAACAGTTCTAGGGTTTTGGACAGAAAAGCCCAAGTCCATGTGACTGCGCTAGTGCTCCTACTGCGCCTGAGCTTCATGCATCGTGTAGCTTTCTTCTCTTGTTCTGCTGGTGCGGCTACTGCCCACTGTGACGGCTCCAGCACTGTCCTGTCTACTGCTGCCATGTCCTAGTCGAAGTTTGAGTCGTACTTTCCAAATGGTTGTGTCGGCTGCAGTGGCTTGAGCTTTTTTTCTAGAGGAATGGGTGTACAGCGTGCAGCCGTGCACGAAGCCCAGAAGGAAGCCTACCAGCCACCTGCATGCCTGCAATCCTCCTCCAGTCCTTCCTGCCTACGGTGGAAGCCCAAAAGTTGCAAACCCAATAGCCTCAACCCGTAAGAACAATGTAGATGGGAATCCCAGCACGATTTGGCCTTAATCCGGTTTCCAACTTTATGGGGGTTGCTGTACTTCGATTTGCGCCACCATTTTTGCAGGCTGCTGCCGTGGAGATATGCAGGGGCCTCAAAAAATCATCAGAAGGGAAGCAGTACCACGATCAGGGACTACACGTGTGGAGAGGCCGTCAAAGCATGCATTTGATCTTCGTTGTGCCTGTGCGGATGTCCGGGCTTTACACGAGTTTTTCGGCATGGCTGTGGCAGTGCGAAGCTTGTTGGAATCTTTGTTGGGGTTGGCCTCTCAGCATGCCGTTCTTATGCCGCTGGCCGAGATCGTTTCCAAGTGTTACCTGGCCATCATTATACGAAGATGCACATCTCCATTGGCTAGATGCCATGCAAAGCTCTTTTGTTAATGTGTTCTGGTGGTGATTCTTCCACATTATCAGCCCGGTACGTGTTAAGAGCCTCAGTCAGCATCTGCTTCGAGGATTGGTTGTGTTTGTCAGAACATGTCACAACTGACTAGAAGTTCCAGTGAGGTCTTGAGTCGTCGTTGCCAAATACTGCGCTTCCCGGGTCGTTTCGTGCGTATGCTTTGTGCCTCTGCAATTGGTGCCGCAAGGTGGGCTTGAAGAAAGTCCGCAGGATTTACGACGAGAAAGAGCGTGTAACTCTGTGCACCGAACATGCACCATAGGAGGCCAAAAGGGGTTTTAGCCTAGGGGGATTTAGTAGGGATTAGGTTCCCATAATAGGGTTCATATGAAGGAAAAAAGGAATCCCTACCCCAAGAATCTTAAACCCCCCTTTTTGGCCTCCCATCCATGCATCCTAAACTCGAAACTCCACCCTTGCAGCAAAGCCGCAGGTAAGGAGAAGGCCGCAACCTCCATGGTGCTGGGAAGCCACGGAGCAGGGAGCCAAGCCATTAGTGCTTTTAGATGTTTTTGTTTGGCGGATTCGTCTTTGATTGAAAAATACTTGACCTTCGAGAGCCTTCTAGGGCGGTGATGTGTGATACAACATGCTGTCACGGTTGACGCGCTTCTTTGTGTGGGCATCTCCGCTTAGTGATTTGATTTCTCAGTAGTTTACATTCTATGGTACTTCTCGCACACAAACAAACACACATGCACAGGTTCTTTAACTTCATGCAAGCACGTGTGTATATGTATGCCTGCGCGTATTTGTACATATGCTTGCAGGTGCATATGTACATGTGCGCTTGTCGGTCAAGCTCCAGGCATTCGTGTAGGTGACACTTCGTAGGTCAATGACACCGCCGTGGCACTTGGGACACGGATGAACATCTGTGCATTGGTGGAGTCTACCGGCACTCCCTGCAGCTCAGGTCGCACATGAGCCTCAGCAGCATCAGCCGCATAAGGCTTCGGGCGCTCGATTCAGGGTCTCTAGAGGTTGGACGGGCTTTCACCGCTTGTGGTCGGTTGCGGCAACAGCGTGAGATACGCATCAACCTTTTCAGCGTCTCAAAACCGAACGAGAGCATGCCAGCAAATCTTGCCGTTGGTCTGGACCCTGACACCATCTCATCTCAAACCCCCGAAACCCCAGAACCCTGAACCCTTCCGATAAAATTGGAATGGTACAGAGACGATGAACACGGCACCTGCGCAAGGATGACACGCACAAATGGAGAAGTGCACCAAGTCGAAATCCTAAACAGATCCTCACCTGGCTGGGCCTACTTCAGGGGTCATGGGACTTAGTAACTGGGGTCATAAATAAGGTAACTATACTTATAACCACTTATAGTCCCATTTAAGGTACTTATAACCTTACTCACTAAGTCCCATGATCCTCCAAGTAGTTGTGGGTGCTGAAACCCTAAACGTGCCCGAAAAGTGTGAGTAACAATGGCATTACACCACCTGCACCCGACATCCAATGCGTGCCGGACTAGCAGACCACGTGAGCTTCGAAGCCACAGCTTTGCAGACAACAGGCTGCAGAGTTTAACATTCAGTTTGCGGGATTAGCATTTAAGTTGTCCGTTTTGGCATAAGATAAAGCGGGATGTTGAGCAGCATGAAGCATGCTCAGGCAGCATTTATTCGCAGAAAAAATGGCACACATAAAAGAAAGATCCCGAAGTCAACCTCCCAGGTGCCTCACCAGGTTTTCCTGAGCCCTTCCAATCCGTTCACGGCGAACTACTTGCCCCGATCGGGCATGTGGGCCCCTGCCGGCGCCTGAGTTGGACTCAGGGTCGAGCGATGTGTGCTAGAGCTGTCCTCCACCGACTGGGAGATTTCTGTCGGTAGAGTATATCTCATGAACTCTGCTATGGGCTTGTTGACCAAATCGTGGGAGGCAATGGTTCTGATTAGCAGGGCAAGGTGAAACTGAATTGAAGTCCAGTGTGGCATAACCAGTGACGACTGACAAGACTCTTACAAGCTCGTCGCAAGCATGCCGAGGTTTCGGGCTGTGCGGTTTGGGGTTGATGGGTTGGATAAAAGCGGTCTGCACGAACAAGGTGCAAGAGGCGGTGAACAAGTACGGCTTCCCGGTTGTGCTGAAGCCCCTGAAAGGCTCCAGCTGTTTCTCAAAGACTGCCTCTAGATGTGTAAGATTTCCAAGAGGGTCCGCACAGGATATCAGCATACAGAGTTATGTTCAAATTTAGCCCATTTTACCTCTGGTCTGGTTGCTGGGAACTACAGTTTCATCATGCTGTTATATGTGGTGGGTGCACGCACAAACGGCCTTCTTATGGAATTCATCGAGTATGGGAGCCGAAATAATTACCGACACTATGGTGGGGGTTTCTTATTCCTTATAATTATTATTGTAGTAGAATGGGCCCCCAAACCTTATTCTACTTATTAGTTCCCCTATACTAGACTACCCTTATAGATCCCTTACAGTAGCCCGTGTAGTCTCCTTGCAACGAACCCTTTAAAGGAAGCAATTAGGGGGTTAGTGTTAGTGTAGTAAGGGGTTTAGGGTTTAGGGATTTAGGGGTTTAGGGTTTAGTAAGGGATTTAGGGTTCAGCTTATTAAGGCCCCTACATGAGGTTCTGGTAGGTTACGGTATACGGTATTCTCCTTGCAGGAACTGGTGGCCTGGATGTGATCAAGGCATGTGGGCGAGTTTGGCTTTAGGGATTTAGGGGTTTAGGGTGTAGTGTAAGGGGTTTAAGGTTTAGGGTTTAGGGATGTAGGGGTTCAGGGTTTAGTAAGGGATATAGGGTTCAGCGTATTTAGGCGCTTAGGATTTAGGGTTATCTTTTCAGGGTTTAGGGTTTAGGTTTCCGGGGCTGCATGAGGGCTTAGGGGTTTAGGGTTCCAAAGATGACGGTTTCAGAGTTTAGGGTTCTGGGAATTTAGGTTTAGAGTTTAGGGATTTGGGTTCAGGGTTCAGGGTTAAGGATGTAGTGTTGAGGGATTTAGGGTTCAGGGATGAACTGATTGCAGTCCATGTGCTTTCTGTTCAGGTCGTTCTGAGTCCTACGGCTGATGGACAAAATCCTGCATGACCTTGAGTACTTCTTGTGAACTGTGGAAAGATGGTATAGTTCCCAACGGTAGAGGTCTGCGCAAAACATCACGGTTTCCTGTATACTGATCTACAGCACACCCCCAAGCCCTCTTCGATTTGTTCAAGCCCCAAATACTTCCTGTTGAAACTTTTACAAGGCGAAGAAAATAGAACCCTTGTTCAAGCCCTATTCCAAGGCGCTACACATAATAGGGCCCTTACGTGACCTCTGAAGGACGGCTGCCCCTTAAATTCCAGCCTGGGGCACCGAGTCAAACAGGCCACATGCTGGAGAGAAGTGGAGGCTGCCGTCCAGCACATCTTTTCCAGGCCGGAGGGGCTTGGTCCTTTGGGGTAGTCTAGGGAAGACCGATAAATCTTAACAGCCTGGACCTGCGCCCCTAAACCCGGAGGAGGGCGATTGGAACGAGGAGCGCAGAAAACAAACTCTCAACTCTGAGAGTCCGCTGGGGGTGGCGACTTGGAGGTTCATGGGACTTAGTAAGTAAGGTTTATAAGTACCTTAATTGGGGTTACAAGTAATTATAAGTATAGTTACCTATTTATACCCCCAGTTACTAAGTCCCATGATGCTTTAAGGGAGCTTAAATCCCCTCTTATAGAACCCTATAGAGTCCTTATAGATCCCTTTGAAGGAGCCCTTTAGGGTCTGCGGGTCTCCTTGCGTTTGCCTTCTCTTCTCGGCTCCATTCGGGTTTGTGGGTCGGGGGCCTTCTGCGGGCCAACGTCCAGGCTGAGCAGTCAATCCTGGACCCCAGAAGTATGTAAAATAATGGCCTTTTATAGGTCTTGGGCCATTATTTTGCCTACTTTTGGTGGGGGTTTAGGATATTTTTATTGGTGTCTCTTGCGAGCCATCCCCAAACCACCAAGAAAGCAGTGCAATCTGCAGGCCCCGGCGCCGGGACCAACAGCACATTTAAAGGAGCCTGTGCATTATTCTCGTAAACTTTATATATACAGACAGGAACCCAAACCCAAATTACCCTACCTAGCTCAAAACCCTGCATTACCCTGCCTTGCCAGGCTACATGCCAGAGTGGTACTCTACATCGATTCCCCCCTTAGTTGTTGGCCTTGATCCAGGGTCTCAGCTTTGTGTCTGGCTTCCGAGCACCAGACTCCAGGCTCAGTCAGGCATGAGTTTTAGGGCTCCGAAAATGTCAAAAAGGGTTTAGGGTTTAGCGTTGAAGACTGAGTCATGGCAGAGCGCGCGAGCGAGAGAGAGTGGAGATGAAAGGCACGAGTCCTTTGTCTTTGCTACTGGCATTCGTGAGAGTCCAGTGGTAAACTAGGACCTAGAGTAGGCTCTTATTCCCTTTCTTAGGGTTCAGGTTCCCTTATAGCCCCCTTTAACCCAAAAAGGGCACCCTTTTTATCCTTAGGTTACTCTGAAGTCTAGTAAAAGCGCTCAACGCAGGAGGCAAAACAGGAAGAACAGCCTTGGTCTTGTTGGCCATCCTTACGAGTCGGAGAGGGCTTCAAGCTCCCTTGCGTTAATCAAAAGGTGTCGAGTCCAGTTGACAACTTCCTAAATTAAAGCCCTACCCTAAACCCCTAAACCCCTAAACCTTAAACCCTTAAGCCCTAAACCCCTAAGCCCCAAACCCTAAACCCCCTACAGCTGTCAGGGAGTACGGCCTGGCGGTCTCGCCCTACAAGCGAGTCATCGACGAGTACCGCTGCGTATGCAGCTCTGCATGATTGCGGGTACCCTAAGGCCCCATAGTAGTTCCTTTTTGGGGTTCATATTTAGAGCCCTATAAAGGTAATCTCAAAAAGGAACTACTATGGGGCCTTAGGGTAATTTGCTGGGTTCTGTGGGTTTGCGAGGCTTGATGGTTTCGTCTGGGTTTTCTCATAGTTCGCATCAAATGTTGTGAATACAGGGGGCCAAATAATGACCAACACTATTTGGGGTTCCTTTCTATAGTCGTTGTAGTATAAGTGAGAAACCCCAAACCGAAACGCTATTCTAAATATCACGGCCCATTGACGCCCACGTGCGAAAATGCCCAGTTGAACACTGGCATCTTCTTGGAACGCCACACTATGGGTCACGGATTCTCTGGGCTTAATCTTGTTTTCAACAGGGTTTGCGGGGGTAAGTAGGGCTTTCGAATCTCCGAGGTGCAAGCCAGCAGGCAGTTTCAAAAGGCGTAAGCTCCATACAAGTGCAAAATTCTGAAGGCGATGCATGCACACCTAACCTGTTTCTTTACGGCTGTTGAGAGGGTTGAGAGTTTAAGCTTTGTTTTTGGAGGGCTAACGATGGAAACTGAGCCAACTCGTCCGACGATTACAGCCCTCATTTCTAATCTCCCTCCGAGTCCTTCCTAGGTCTTGGGCAGCAGGCGGGCGGAACAGCGACACGCGCAGTTTGGGTCTGCCACGGGGTCTAAGGGTGCTTTGGACAACTGATGCTTCGTGTTGAACTCGTTGGTATGCGTCTTTCATGAGATCTTGCTACTGCCACGGCTTGGAGTGCTGTGGAAGCTCTACGGACTGCTGGTCGAGACAAGTCTGGGGCACAAAGTGAGAGCAGAACCTTCGGACTCTGCACTTGTATGTAGCCCAGGAGACGGCAACAGGTCCAACAACATTTTCAACAATATCTTCGAGAGGGATGGAGTGCTTAAATACGCCTTTGGAAGCCATCATGAGGCGGTGACATCTGTGTGACCGTGGAAAGACAAAATCTTCGACGCTCTGCGCATGCTATTGTCTGGGAGCCCTGGTGTCACCTGGGCCATGCCCCTGCCTCGTCGCAGTTGCAGCGGAGCTTTCAGTTCTAAGTGGAAGCCAAGCACACGTGTTTGTTGATATACTGTAGGAGTTTCCGAAAATTGGGGGCCGTACCTTATTTGGAGTTCCTTATAATAGGGATCCTACTATTTAGGGTTTTATATTAGGGTCCCTTAATTTTCGGAAACTCCCACATGTGCAGGTGAAGCTCACATATCGAAAAGCCTCGGCCTCAGCTGCGCGAAACAGCTGGACGCATCATGTCGATTTCAGTTTGAAGGTGGGGGTGAGAACCTGCCATTCAGGATGCAGAGGGGAATGGAGGCTTCGAGTCCACAACAAATCGTGCATCGCAGTAACATGGACGCACTTGTTAGCTGTCATCACTTAAGTCGTGCTCCTGAATGTCCCCAGCTGACACCCTCATGTTGGTTCCACTGCTGCACCCCAAGAGGCTAATTCCATGCAGACAGAGCCCACATTCTCTGAGAACGGTTTTGTTTTGGCTCCTGTATGTTCTGTCTTTGCCAAATCCTATGTGGTGGTTGTGCTTAGCTTGTTGGTCTTTTTCCATCAGCACTTCCACCACGATCGCATCTGACGTGCACCCTGAGGAGCGGAATTGCTGCCTTCAGTTTGACGCTTTAGACATGTAAGGGATCGAACCGAAAAGCCTCGCCTTGAATTGCCACGGGGCCGTAGGGATGTGGCCACAGAAGCAACTTCGTCTGTGACCGAGCCGGTGAAGGTGCAATTTGCTTCGGTTTTGTCAGGTCTTGACATCCGGCTTTCAATTGGCACCCACTGCGGAATTGTCGGCTCTGTTTTTAGGTCTGGTATGTAAAATGTTAGCTAAGGCCAGAAACAGTTTCTAGTCGTCAAGTGCGTTGTTACCGGAAACGTGCCTGCGCCGAGCCACATTTCAGTTGCTCAAGGTCAGGTTTCGTGGGACGTCATAAGACGTCCGGCTTCTTCATATACCACCTTCGCCGTAGCTGCCCAAGCAGCAATGGACTCCGTCAGCCGCGGCCTATTCTTTGCACTCCTCTGTCGAAGCAGTGAGATAGTGCAGGGAACTTCCATCAAAGCAGGATCGTCCGTATCCACCGAGGACGTGGAGGCGAAGCTATCGCACTGAACAAGTAAGGAAACTCAATCAAGGCTGTAAAGCAAATAGCCTCACCCACACAAATCTCTACCCTCAAGATCAGTTGCAGACTTCGGAAGCATAAGCCGTCAGCGTGAGATCCCGCCCGGTGTAGGAACTTCTGCTCAGTCCCCAAGACATCGCCGGTTCAACAGAGCACATGCGAAAGATCCGACTATCGGATGTTCGATCTGGTTGTCTATCTGCCTTTTTCGTACGATGAATTGAAGAAGCATGGACATGTGCATACATGCATAGCTTTCTTCCTTTTTCCAGCGTATGTGTATTCATGTGTTTGTTATTTGTTAACATACATAAACACATGTGTGTACATGTTGCATGTACGTGTCCATGTGTGTGTCTGTTCATGTATATATGACCAATATGTATGAGCACGTATGTGTGTATGGATGTATGTTTGCATGTATGCATGCATGTCGTTTGTCTGTCTGTCGGTCTGTCTGTCTCTCTGTGTCTGCATGTCTGTATGTATGCGCATATCTCTCATTCTGTGTGTGTGTGTGTGTGTCTGTGTCTGTGTGTGTGCATGTGTATGTGTGCATGTGTGTGTGTGTGTATGTATGTATGTATGTATGTATGTATGTAGGTATGTGGGTATGTATGTATGTACTGGGGTATGCACGTGAGTATGTACGTTGGGTATGTACGGATGTATCTATGTACGTACTTAGGTATGTATGTATGTATGTATGTATGTATGTTTGTTTGTATGTATGTATGTATGTATGTATGTATGTACGTATATATGCGTCGATCTCTAGATTCATTGATGGGGTGGTTGTTTTTTTTGTGGGGGGTTGCTGGTGGAAGCCATTCCTAATGCGTTTGGGTGTGCTTATGCGAGAACTGTAAAGACTTGGTGGGAGTCTTAAAGCCTTGGTGTAGTGCTCAAGGTCCTTTGTTAGCAGAGACACACCATTGGGCAGACATTTCCTTATGAAGAGGTTATACCACAGCCCAAATCCAAAGAGAACCTGTATACATTATGCTGCTAACCTGCGAGACTTGGTTGCCGAATCCGGAGGCGTACGACTCCTTCCGCAATCAGTATGGGCGCAACGAGGAGTATGGATCCGAGAACTACCGAGAAAGGCTCGCCTTCTTTGCGAAGCGGCGGGCAGAAGTGGATGCCCAAAATGCACAGCCACACAGACTCTGGTGGGCGAAGCTAAACAAGCTCCTTGGCAAAACTGGAGAGGGAGGACCTTTCAAGTCTAACTTGTCAGAAGAGACCAACCCGTACAGTCCCCTTCGGTCCAAGTGCATGTGCAGCTACACCTCCTCCATTGGTGACAGCTTTGGGGCCGCAGAGACCCTGACTCCTTGCAGGTTCGCGGACATCACAGACTCCGAGTACCGAGCTATGCTGGGCTACCGCCGAATGGGATGGACACCCGCCAGCTCTGCCATCATGCGCCGCTTGGTAACAAGGAGTCTGGGTCTATTACTGAGTCTAGGGCAGGGGCCGGCATTGAAAACGCTCGAAGCCTTTGGTGTTTTACCAGACATTACAAAGTACTGTACTGATGCGGTGTTATTACCTCAGGCTGCCGGCGCAAGAAGGATCACTTTGCTTTTGGAGGTTTCCTCGAAAGTAGGGCTTGAATGCTCCACAATGTAGTGCAAGCCATAAAGCAGAAGATGTGCGCACCAGGTGGCGGCTCCTCTTTCCTGCAGATGGACAGAAGGGCTGGGATTGGGGTTTAGAGGTTCTGGTTAGGGTTTAGGGAGGGAGAGCTGGAAGCGAGATAGAGGGAGGTTCAGCATTTCTTGTTTTTCGCAACCGTTGCTTTGAGCACAATCCTCTTGCGGCACCAATGTGCATCATGGTGCGATGCTCATCGGGAATTATAAGCGATGGTTTGTTACCGTACTCTAGGGGCCTTGATAGACAGACCCCTGAGTCCGCGAGGGAGAGAGAGAGAGAGAGAGAGAGAGGGGCCTTGATACTTAGAATAGGGTGTTGGGGGTTCCTGCTCATAAATATAAAAGTAGACCCCTCATAAAAATAAAAGTAGACCCCCAGACCCTAGTCTAATTATTTATGCCCCGGTATATAAGAGCCTTACTGTAGATCCCGTCAAGGACCCCTTTAAGGAACCCTTTAAGGGAACCCTATTCTAAGTACTGAGGCCACTATATTAGGAATCAGGAGCTCCACGCCCTTTCAGTAGTACCCTGACTGATACTGCATTCAGAAACGAACGGCGAAAGGGATCTCTGCCTCCTTGAAGAGCAAAACCCTAGACTAAGCCCGAAAGTCCCGAAAGCCATCAACAAAAGCCGGAGCTAGACCATAGAGGCTTTACCCACAGAGCCCAGCGCGTCTTACTCAAGGCACATACATTCATGCATGCATGCTGTTTATGGCTTTCAGTACGATCTGCGAATATGTGACTTACGCCCTCCAGGACACTTTGGCCACATCGCGGGATTGGCGAGAACTCAAATCGAGCAGCTTCCTCCGTGTGCAAGGCTTATCAGTACAAGTATGGTATATACTTCAGGGTTGAGGGTTTAGGGCCTCGGATACTAACGGAATGTTATGGCCCCTCTAAATTCTAAACCCTAAACCCCGTCACGTTTGAAGCTTGGCGGTGTGGGACCAGGAAGTCGGGGAATGCATGTGGCTAGTTGTCAAAATGATGGTCCCGTTTTGGGTATCCTAAATATGAGGTGCCGTACTATAATAGGGACCCAAAAAGGGACCATAATTTTGACAACCACCCATGTAATTATAAGGCTTAGGTCTGATTGGGTTCTTAGTGTCTTGCAGGGTTTTGAGGTTAGGGGCCGAGGGTGTATGTTAACCCTAGGGCTCTAAGGACTCATCTTTTAAGGCTTTTGGGCCTAAAGACTATATTATATAAGGTCTTGGGCCTAAAGACCATATCATTTAAGGCTTTTGGGCCATTTTTTTAGCCTTAGAGTAATAGATAGATGCAGGCAGAGAGACGCCGTATACACAAGATATAGCTGAGTTGAGGGAGGCTGAGGAGCTACGTAGAATTACCAGGCTATGCCCAGGCCTTAGCCATTTGGGGCGACATATATACATATACATATACATACATATATATATATATGTATATGAATAGGGCTGCATGGTTTCAGAGGAGCTCTTATAGGATCTTGAACTCTTATAGGATCTTGAGCTCTTATAGGATCTTGAGCTCTTGCAGGATCTTAAGGTCTTATTCGGGGATATAGGCTAATCGAGGCTCTGTTTCGGCGTCCTGGAGTCCTCTTTCGATCAGATCTTCCCTTCCTCTTCAAAGACGGTCTTATCTGAACCCGAAACCTCAAAAGCGCTGATCGAGTCCAGAACATAACGAGTCCTGTATTGTGACCCAACCCCGTCTTACAAGTCTGGGAGTCAGAGTGCACATGGAGTTTCATCAGCCCTCGTTTTACGGTTTGGGGTTTCGAACATGTTAGAACTGTAGGATTGGGGCTTTAGAACTTTTTGGGTGCACGTGTCGAGCTCCAACATCAGGTGGATGCGGCTCGTGCTGGGCGGTGGCCGCAGCTGGCGCATTGGAGATGCATGCACCCTGGCCGTTCACTGCAAAAGCGCCAACTGTCATCAAGAGTGTTGCCAGGGTGTCGTTTCTACAACGTTGCGACCCACAGTGTAAGCATGTTTGGATCTGTGGTCGTCGCCTTCAGGATACATGTGTTCTCTGCAATGATCTGCAATGTTCAAGCATTCTCATTGTCATCGAGATGCTTGAGATCTGAAGTGCATCTTGCTGTCCTTGTTTGGCATCTTATTTTTCCTCATCATCCTCCGAGTCCCGCCGTCGTCGGCGTCGTGGTCATCGTCATCGTACTCGTCGTCGTCGTGGTCGTGGGTGGCAGTAGCAGTCGTAGTCGTCGTCGCAGCAGCAGCAAATATTTTCGTCTTAATTATGCTGTTACAACATCCCAGCGCTTGAATCATGCGCATTCCGATGGGGTTTGCAGACTCCAAGTCTCTTCCTCCAGGATGGCTAGGGTTTGGGGTTTAGAGTTTAAGGGTTTATGGGTTTGGAGTATAGGGTTTAGGGTTTCGATAATAATTCTGCCGTGTAGTCTCCACGGTAGTTGCTTCGAGACTGTCCGAGAGACCGTATGCACAGGCTCTGAGCGCTAAACCCTTAGCCCTAAACCCTGCAACCCTGAGCTGCTAGGCCTTAAATCCTCATATACGCGTCGGCGGAATGAGTAAACATCCTCCATTGTGTTTCCCATGTCAGTATAGTACAAGATTGTATCCGAGAACTCTACTGAAGCAACTTATACAGGCCCGCATGGCCAACCCTTGAAGCATTTAGGAAGCCGTTGTAGAAATAGTAGTCAGCAGCAGCGGTCGCCCTGTCGTGCTGTGTACTCTAGTGACTCTAGTGAAGCGCAGGGCAGTGCAGTGGTGAAGCAGCGGCGGCCGTAGCAGTGGCAGTGGTAGCAATGCGACTGGCCTCCTGTTTGCGGTAGTGATGATAGGATTTGCAAGAAGATGAGTTCGGCACCCGGGTGCCCACCCAGCTAATGCTAATCTATCCAAGCCGCCTTTTGTTGATTCGTTGCCGCCAACAGCCTCCGAACGTTGCGCAGCGTTGGCTGTTCCCCACTTCCAGGCAGAGCTTCACAAGAAACTTGCGAGCCCCACGCGACTGTCTTTCAGCCAGCTGTTGGATGCTCGGCTATGACGTCGTACTTCCAAACGCCCATGAGGATCTCATTACCCCCTTCCCGAAGAAAGCTTATCCCATAGCACTTTCAGCCGTCTCCGTTGCCCGAGAATCTCAATAAGGGCAAACAGCCACAGGACCTACCAACAGAATCATCAGGTTGGGGCTCCTATATATATATATATATATATATATATATATTATATATAGAGATAGAAAGATAGATATATATATATATATATATATATGCTCACCCCCCCCCCCCGGTGACAGACCACGGGTCTAAAAAACACCGTGCACAACGATATTCTGTGAAGCAAAACCGTTACATGAGGTATATAGTATAGCACCAGACGTGCGGCACATGAGTTACGTAATAGTCTTGTGGTAGTATCGGTATTAGGGTGAGTATTGTTATTAATATTAGTACTATTGCTTGCTGTAAGTATACGTATCAATATTGCCAACTATAAATTAGTGTTAGTGCTCATGTTCGTGTTAGAGTTAGCGCTAGTGCCAGTGTCAATGTCAGTAATACAGCACCACTGCTACGAGTAGTATCAGTATCAGTCTTAATGCTGGGTTTAACAGCAGCTTATATTCGCAGAAGTGCTAGTATTAGTATCAATATTAGAACTAGTTAGTTTTGATATGTTAGTATATTGATAGTCTCGTATATTAGCAGATTAGTATATCAATACATCAATGTATTCGGACAGCAAAATATTTGCATACTTGTATACTAGTATATTTTACATGTTAGTACAACTGGTGCATGACTACACTACTATACTGCTGTATTAGCTTACTAGTATATTGACATACCAGTATATTCGTACGTTAGCATATTAGTGTACGAATATGTGTACTATATTACTGTTTTATCTAATCATGTATAAGTATATCAGTATGTTGGCATATTAGTATACGAACTTGTCATGTCGGTATTCTTGCATAGTGCAGTAGCCGTATATGATTATAGTCACATATTCGTATAGTATATTCATACAACAACGAGAAGTATATTGATACATTGGTATATGGGTATATGCCTATGCCAAAGCATTAATACATGAATGCACTGATGTATATATCTGTATCTTAAGATAGTGGTACGTATTTTATGTACATGAGTATATGCAGGTGTCTATTAGTAATGGTATTAGTTTTCATATCAATATGAATATACTATTGGTATTCGTAGGAGTATTAATGTCAATACTAGTAGAAGTAGGACTATTTATACTCGTAATAGCCATAATATGAGTGTTCATGCTGGTAATACTAGTGGCATTCTTGAATATGCAGCAGATTATCAAAGTCCGTATTAGTGTTGGTGATAGCACTACTGTTAACGCACAAGGGTTTACGTATTCGTATTCGTAGGAGTATAAATAGCTATGTAAATATTGATGTTAGTATAGATTTTGTGTTAAGTATTAGCAGTAGTGTTAGCGTTAGTACTATCATATTATTGATGATATACATTCGAAAGAATGTTTGTATTGTTATTACTCTTGACCACGTGAAATTCTAACATGCGAACGGACTGCGATGCCTTGTCATGTTCTAAGGTGTCACTATAAGAGCTGTGAGCAAGACCGTGTAAAGTGCAAGAGAAGGGGGCACGCTACGCGTCCCTCGACTCTAGGGGGCATGCTACGCATCCCTCATCTTTGCCTTTCTATGTGACCGCCAACGCAACGTTTGGCTCAAGTCAATGCCCATAGCTAAGTGCTATATGTGTCTTCTATCCCGAGCAATCAGAGCTATCCCGTTGCACAGACGAACCGCCGCCGGCAGTGAGTGCAAAAGGAACGGCCGCCGGTTCTGCCTGCATAGGATCGCACGTGTGGAAGTAAGAGGGAGAGACAGGGTCCAGTCTGTGGAGAGTGCTAGCCAGCCACACCTACATTCATTACAGCTCTGGTGGGGAGAGCAGCAACCAAGTCGAGATCAATCCCCCACGCAGGTTATCAGCCGTACGCGGCTCTGCCTTTCTACAGCAACGACTACTTGATCTACTACGACCACAATGAACTCAGGATCAAGCCAAGATACGACAATGACTTTCGGTGCCGATGTGGCAGCGCCAGCCGTTGGTGAGTCAACAGCTGATGACACAGTGGTGCAATCCGTTGATAGCTCCACGGAAGATGACAAAGGTCAATCTTCTGCGCTTGCCATTGCAAAGGCAGTTCCCAAGGGGAAAGCAAAGAGTCTACCAAGAGCATCTACGCCTTCACGTCCGACATCCACAGGTTCGAGGACGGGCAAGGCTTCAGAACGACGGGCCGAAGCGTCTGGTTTTCAGGCACCTCGGACTACGTCCAGGGCTAAGGACAAAGGAGTCAAGACCTTGGAAAAGAAGTCAAGACCATCATCTTCGAGAAGCTCTTCAGCACGATCGAGGACTTCGGCCACTCGTGGGCGTGACAAGTCCATGACTTGGAATCGGATGGTTACCAATCAACCACGCGATACTGACGATCTGGACATGACTCTGGATACGATTCCTGCACGTGGTGATGCGTCATCCGTGGCCACGCCTGCAATAGCTGACGGTCCGAATGCCTACCAGGAACTGACGATTTCGCAACAGTTCGAAGCATCGAACCTTGCACAGCAGATGTACTATCGCAGTCAGGTGCAAGAATACGAAGGAATCGTCCAGACCCTGATGGACAAGATCAAGGAGATGCAACAAGAAGATGAAGGATCTGGAATTCGCATTGAGGAATTGGAACGACAACGTGATCATGCATGCTTAGCCATGAGGCACATCAACAATGTCAATCAGGAGATGAAGCGAGACTATGAAACAGCTTTGTTTCGCATGGATGAGCAGAACTCTGCTCAACAACGTCAAGCACATGCCGTTGCCGAGGATTTAGCTCAACAGCTACACGTGTTTCGCACGGAGGCAGCCACCAACTTTGTGCAGTTGGAGGCAAGAGCGCAAGGTGATGGTGAGCTTATGGCACGTGAGTATGAGCGTCTGACTCATGAACTTCATGAACACGCCAGAGAGAACTTGGTCCTCCGGTCAAACACAGCAAGTTCGGAACAAGCCTTACAAGCAATGCAGGAACGATTCCACTTGGTCAAGAACCAGGAGTTGCGGGCTGTGAACGAGATCCAAGGGCTAGCTGGAAACAGCGCAGCCATTGAACAAGAACGATTTCGGCTTCGCGAACGTCTTGGTGAAGAGGAAGAGTACCGCAAAATGGCTGTGAAGAGGATGCAAGAAGCAGAGGACGACTTCATCAGAATGAAGATCATGCAAGGCGATCATTGCCTACCTTGCACGACGAGCTGAGTGAACTCAGGAAAACGCTCAAAGCACAAGAAGATCTTCAAGCGAGGACACGCAGCGAATTGGAGGCAGCGCGAAACTCCAATCAAGGAGGAGCGACGCGACCTTCGAGCATGCCCATGTCTTCGAGGACTACTGAGTCTGGCTGGGAGCACGTAGGAAAGGAAGTAATGCCTGCATTTTCCGTAGGAGATGAGGTACGATCCCCTGAAATACGGTCCCCAAGTCAAGTTAGTCCAGTCGCCAAAGAGAAGTTCGCATTCTCGGAATCGGACAAGGACAAGAACCTTGTGATGGACGGAATTCCATTCACCGGTGGAAACTTCTTCACTGGCCGCAGTTCAATGCCAATCGTGGCGGATGCAATGCCCGAGCACCACGTGCCAGGTATTAGCAGCCCAGCACTTGCGCGTTCCACGCCTAGTGCAGCCACTTTGTTTGGCATACCAAGCGGATTTCATGGGAAAAGTGATGCGGCAGCCGTGCGTGATCGACAGCTACGCGAACTCTTGGGGGATCGCGGGATGTTGGGATCGAAGTCCACAGCATCGGCCAGCTCCTCAAGACCTGTTGGCATCGACGGTGTCACCGCATCTACTAAGGGCAACGACCTCGTTGGTCCCCCTGTCGCCTATGACGATTCCATCCATGAGGCAAGGAGGCGTCAGATCGAGAAAGAGATCGCGGAACAGTACGAGGAGAAGATTGCTGATCTGCGAAGTGAAGTACTCAAGGCTCAGAAAGCTGAACAACGT